GAGGATACCCCGGCGACCACTAAGCCACCAGAACTAAGCCACCAACGACCCAGCCAAGACCCTAGCCACAAGAGCAACTGAAAACAGCCCATACTAACATTTAGGCATATTGACTATCCCTTTTATTGGTGGCTTGGGCTGTAATTGTTGGCGCTGTCTCGGTATTCGTGGAGCAACTCGGGGGCGCACTATGACCTGGCCGCGCCGACCCACCAATTTCACCGCAGCAGGCGCCAGAATTCTACGGAGAAATCCAACAAAATGGGGCGTTTTATGGGCTCAGAATGGTATTAACTACGATTATATGGGTTTGGTAGCTTATACTGGTCTATTTCTGGCTTGGTTGGACGCTAATGGAGGCAGTGTCGGGGTTGTTGTCGGCGCGGGTCTAGACCGCGTAACGACGTGGTGCCGCGACCATCCCCCCGACAGTGCCACCACCACCGCCACCAGCAAGAACAAGGAATTTCCAAATATCCCCGTTTCTCCACTGTATGTTAGTCATTTGTTGTAGTTATTGGTGGGGGGGGCCGGGGAATACTGACGTATCGGATATAGCTCCACAAAACCCCGGCGCCCGTCGGAGTTACCCCGGAGAAGTCCCGACACCCTTCTACTAACACTAACTATTCCAATTTTTCAATTACTTTACCTGTTTCCTTTTTTTTCTTTATGTTCTTGACGATTCGCGCTGTTGTTCTTCGGTGAGCGGTTTTTTTTCGCTCCCTTATCGAGGTCATCGCGCCCGTCGCCGCTACCCCTGAGACTATCGGCTCGCGTGTGGCGAGCGCGTCGAGGTGCAGATATGGCATGCAGCGAACGATCGTATTTGTTTATGTTTCCTGCAGGCATGTGTCAAGATGGCAGCGATAATGAAAGTCAAGAAAACCCCCATAGATTAAATGGAAAAATCATACCATTCAGTAAAGTAAATGCAATTGAGCATGAAAAAGTAGTTTGTATTTAGTTTTAGTCGGGTTTACGCTTTTTGAGTGTTGTGGCGCCGTGACCACTCCTAAACGGAAACAAACCCCAAATCTATGTTTTTCACCATCAAATGTTATCAATCATACCTTATTTGCTTTAGTTTGCCTTGTGGATTATTTAGTAAACTTTTGCGATGAGTTTCGAGCTTATGTTAACTTGGCTAAAATTTTACCATTTTCAAATGAAATCAAGCCATCGTAGCATTCATCCCGATAAGACAGGTAATTGATCGAACTCACTCTAAACGCCATTATTAACCACCCAAACCACACTTGGTTTGTTTTTATCATCATTTACGTGACCTATGACACCCCCTTCCACTCCAGTTTTGACGTAAAATACCTCCCCAAATAAGGCTGGGGTCAAGCGCTCAAACCATAACCATTATCATCGGAAGGCGTGACTAAAGTGTATTGTTTATCATCAGGGCCACAGAAGTCGGCAACTCCGGGTTGAATTTGTGATGATTGCCAAAACCGTGTCCTGCCGAGAAACCAAACATAGCTAACCCCTTGGGTCATCGCCCCGCCACCAGCCACCGCGACTGCCACAATACAACGAGAACATCAGCCCCATGACCTAAATACATCAATTCCCCCAACAATATAGACTTAAATCGGTTCCATAAGTATAACTCTTTACAAATAAAACTACCATAACACTAACCCTCGATCTCTAATGACAGTATCAAGAAATTCAATCACGAAACTTACAGTTAAGTCATTCTTTTGAAATGGTGTTTTGCTAGTTTGGAAATCCAATCCTCACCCAACCCAACGATCGTATCGTCGTATCCTTAAAGGTTGAGCCGCACGTTGGTGCATGCGCCCCCACCCTGTCCTCGCTTAGGCCTCCCCTTCGAAGCCTGTTTTCGGTCGTCTCGAGACTACAAATGGAAATATTTGTGCTACTTTGATTACTAGCTCAAAACAGAAATGTAAGATTTTCATTAAAAGTTCACAAATCAGATGAGCAAGCTGGAGCCATCCAGATTCAATAGATTCTCTCCTCGAAGTTTGAGTTAAGGTGGTGACCGTACTTGCGAATATTTCAGCGAAGAGGGTAAGGCTTCGTTTTGGCGACTCATCAATCCCTTTCTGCTTTTGGATGTCTTTGTGGCGGACTCCCTTCTTCAGTTAGTGCTAGAAACTGGCGATGAGAGCTTTTGGACCACGTAAAAATCAAATCATATGAAAGACGATGATTTTGATGTCACAATCGTTCAATAGTCTTCTGGTGTTGCTCAAGGATTGTGAAGATCATCACCACGGTTAAGTTGGAAAGTTATATGACCATGTGAATAAAGAAACAGGGGCTTGATGAATGAAGGTGGCTTTATCGTCAAACCCAAGCTGCTCATTGACCATTTAGGCAAATCGTCATCGGATGCCACCAACTCAAAGTGGTCTAGAGTTGTCTCATTTTCAAATTCAAGCCACACCTCTTTAGATTGGACGTGTACAAGCAGTAATTGTTTCACCGAGGCAGGTATTTTGAGGCGATTGTTTTCGCTCCAGTCAACGATTGCAAGATGGATCGTCACCGACTGTAAATGCTTACACCCAACAAACACGTCAGGGGGTACTGATTTTGATGGTTTGCCTTCGGAGTCGTAGGGGTGCCACCATATGGTGACGTTTTGCAACATTGATGGAATGGAGCCATCAAAAAAATATTGTAATTGCCGACAATTAAATTGATGAGTATTGGGGAAAAGACAACTCTTTAAGGTGATATTGCGAGCGGAGATCTTTGGTTCCTCAACAACTCTACACCCTAAAAGAGTCACTTCATCAGCTATTATTGATAGTGATTGTAACCTCATAAAGCTTAAGTCTGCTGTCTTCAAATGTTGTTTCAAATGAAGTTCAGTTCGGGAATCCCCCAAGCTTAAATGAGCAAGCATCGGAAAGTGGTTTTTGTCAAAGGGGAAGGTAGTAGCCGAATTAAACGTCAAAGATACCAAGTTAGGCGTGTTAAGCCTCAAAATGCTGATTATGGAAGACATTGATAATCGGGTAAGTCGAGGACAATCAAGAGATACGTCACCAGCGAAACAGGCATCAAAGTATTGTAGATTGGCTGAGTTAACCGAAACATGACACTCATCGCCATCGCCAAAAAATAAAAAGGTTTTGAGTTGAGCGGGGATACCCTCCACCAGCCATTGCGAGTAAACCTGTAATGTGGTTACTGATGGCGGTAAAGGAAGTCGTTCAGTAATGACTGCATCTGTTCTCATACGCAATTCTTGTAAATTGATCAAGGGAGTGGTGTCAAGCACCAGGTACGTGGGCACCTTAAGCGACACCAATTGAGCCATTTGCGACTCCGTGAATAGCTCTGAAATATTTGAAGTTGAGGCGTGGATGTGCATTGCTTGTCGTAACGCCACTTTCTCGAGTTTTGGACAGTTTTTGCTTTTGAACGTGAACGAATCGTCATTAATCACACTGTTGAATTCTCGCAATTCCGGCAAATGGGACACTTGAGGGGCTGAAGTACCACTGTACACTTGTAGCTGTGACCAAGGAACATTATAAATACTGCCTCCATCCACATGTTTTAAGTTAGAGAGCTCAGTGGCATTGTAGGCAGTACCAATGGGGAGAATAAGCTTCTGGGTCAGTAAAGGAACTAACCCAATCTCTTCCGGGTCTACTTCATCATTGAACACCTCAAATGATGTGATGGACCCCCCAGTAATTGAGAATTTATCGCACTCTTTGAGGATAACTCGGGTTTCGTCGTCACCACAGTGGTACTCAAATTCTTTGCCAAACCCCACCACTTCCAACGTGTCGATATGCATTTGCCACGAGTTCAAATCAAAAGGCATCAGTGGTGGATTTCCCTCGAGGACCACGTGGACCAGCGTGAAGCGGCGGCGCTTAAACCATTCGGGAACAAGCTGGTGTGAAAACACGGGCAATACCACTTTAACGTGACAAGGCGGGAGCTGTTCAAGTAAAGCAAACCCAATATAGTCAGGATCACCCGTTACCAATGCGTTGGGACTTACACAAATGGTTTTATTGGCGAGATAGTCCGCCACCATTTGGCCGTGGCGAGGAGCCAATGCCACGTATAGTCGACAAACTGAAGGGATATCAACAAACGATAACGCCAGGTGGAATATCTCCTCAGGTAGCTTCAAAAATAGACTCATTCTGTCCAATTAATCTGTATATTCAAGCTGTTAATGCTGCCATTGTTGTTCGCACTGGAGGTGGTCGGTGCGGGGTGGCGAAAAACGCGGGCTTACTTCGGTGGCCTAATCGTTCTAGCAACGCGTCGCATTTACCCGCTAACCAAGTCACCTAGCGCGGGTGGGAAATTCGGTGAAACTCCGCTCACCAAACCCTAACTACTCGTGAGAGTCTCCGGCGCGTAAGCGCGTGGGCGTTGTTATAAGCAATCACGGGGTTCTCTCCCTTCTGGGGGGGAGCCCCATGGGAACGGCAACGCGAGCGGTTGGCCCTCCGGCTCCACGCGGGAGGAGCTGTTCAGTGCAATATGCGACCACTACGCACCCGATACCGATCATCGTTGCTAGGCGATCCTTCTCTTTTAACAAATTTTGTTAGCCATCTTTTTTTCTCTGTGCGAAAAGCTGTGCGAAAAGGACATCTCGGGTTCAACTTTTGGCGGTGACGAATTATATTACCATGATTATTGCTAGCATTCGCCGGATCTTTGCCCTGTTTCGTACTGACGAGGAGGAGCGGATGTACTCGCGTAAGGCGTTTTTCCATTTGCTTGGCTTCTTGGGCTCGTGCGTGTTGTTTTCCTTTGTCGCTCAAAGACTGACCCGTCAAATTGCTTGAAGTATACCTGAAACCGGAAGGATTATTGTTTCATTGGCATTACCCATGGGTGGGAAATGATTCTAATTGGTGTCTGGAGCCATTTGAGCCTAGGACCATGAGTTTTGGTTGCTTTTTTCGTGGCGGTTTATTTTGAGACGAAACGAGGTTAGCAGCGACCACTATGACCACTTTTGATCACTTACAAGTCCTTAGAAACCTGCCAAAGCTCAAAGTGCCAATACTCTGATTGAATGGCTGGTTTTGACGTGGCGTCGCGGTTGGGTTGACAACGCTAATTAACGCCACCCGGGGGGGGGGGGGTGTCACGACTCAGCGGACCAAGCCCTCATTTTCCGGAAGATAGTTTACCCGGGGTGGGGCAATTCATTCGTCATTGTTTTACCTCTGACGCCATATCAGGTGGACCCTTGACAAATGCCCTAACCCTGGGTGTCTGTGCTTGTGTCTCTGTTTACGTTTCGTGGCTTCAACGACAGATGCTAATGGTCTTTGCAAATGGCCTGATTACTATTGTTGTTTGTTGATTTAAGCTTGTCGGCATCACCAAAGTGCAGAGGCCCGGAGTGGCTACATTTACCGATTGACTGCATCAATAGCCATTTCTTTGTGGCCGGCTGTGGCTGGGTAAGGTACAAAAGTGATATCGTCGGCTTTACCTCTTTGAACATGGCCGATAATAACCACAAAACAGGGTCACTACCATTGACACCACCAGAATGACGCGGTCATTTATCTTGGGATTGAGGAAATAGAAACGTTCACCCGACGATGGTGCCACATGTGGTCATGCCCTGCGTAGCCAGGGTCCCTTCCATTGCACCCTGGCCAGGGTCTTCTCGAGGCAGTGGTGACGTTTGTGTCTTTCGGTGATTGCGAAAGCTATTTTTGGTGTGCTTGACTTTGAAATTAAGGTTGGCGCTTGCATATAGTTCGAAGCCCGAAGCGCAATGTCAACAATATCGTCTTAGGTTTGGTACGGTTTGGTTTCGTATAGGAAGGTAAACTATGAAAACAATGAATTACTTTGATAATAAATCGACGCCATAAGCGACGAGAATCTAAAGTGGGGATGCTGACTACTGTAGAGACGTTATTGCAGTTTTTCTCAACCTCTGTCAAACTTTTCGTCACTGTATTCTCATGGTCTTGGTTTTGGCTGGCGCTAGTACAATTCCGTGCGAAACTCTCGCACGGGCCTGCCACCAAACAAATAAAGGAGAGGACTAAACCTTCCTTTAATTGACAAGTAATTCACAAGGATACGCATTCAAAGTATAGTACACGTGAATCCTAAACTAACCTACCACCTTAATTTAAGGAATCGTTTCGTCACAGATACTTCGTGAACCTTGTGTTCGTGTGAGCTCGCACAGTCCGTGCGAGAGTTTCGCATGGACCATAATCATCGCTTGACACTAACTGATAAACCATAAAAATCCATCTCTCTCAATTGGCCAGTGATCTCGACCAATTGCATTCATATAAACATAGTAGACGAAAACTCATTTAAATCCAAAAGTAATCCATTGGATGTTTTGTCACCGATTGGATCTTGATTAAAGAAATTATCACTGCTAGCACAGTCCGTGCGAGAGTTTCGCACAGAGCCATGGCTACAGCCTAACAGTGGAGGAGCCCACCGTATTCCTCAATTGACCGATGATTCTAGAAAATTGGCATTCAAGACTAGTAACTTAGACATATTAGACAATATTCAACCAACACTGGGGAAAATTTCACCAAAACTGACCATTTTTCGTCACTATGGATGCCCTCGTAGCCCGCCGCACTTCGCACGCTACACACTCTACCACAGCACACACCACCGCCGGATGCTGCTGTCCCAGCTCCAGGAGTTCCACAGCCACTTGCGCCGGGCCAAGAAAGTGGTGGCGCTTGTGGGAGCCGGCTTATCTGCCTCCCTGGGACTCGCCACGTTCCGTGGCACCCAGGGGTTGTGGAAAAATTATAACATGATCGACCTCGCCACCCCCGACGCCTTCTACGTCGACCCGGGGCTTGTATGGCAATTCTACCTGTGGCGGAGGTACCAGGCGCTTCAAGCTAGTCCCAACCGAGGCCACAAGGCGCTAGCAGCGCTCAGTAACGTGCCAGACTTGAAACAGTGTACCATCAACCAGAACGTCGACGGGCTCCTTACCCGCGCGGGCCACGCCTCCAAACACCACTTCCAGATCCACGGACTGTTGTTTCAGTTGAAATGTACCAGTTTTACCTGCAATTACGTCGATCCAGCCAACTTTACCCACCCGTTGACCCCGGCGCTCGTAGGCACCGAGTTTGAGTACCAGGGCCAACTGACGAGAAAACGCAGACTCAGCCACGATGAACATACTCAAAATACCCCCAAAAGTGCCGACAGTCTGCCTCAATTCACCCCAGTACCTCAAATCGAGGAAGGAGATCTACCCCGGTGTCCTCGGTGTTCGCTGCTTTTACGCCCCGGAGTGGTATGGTTTGGCGAGCTGTTGTCGCTTCATCAGATTCATGCTATTGACTCGTTCATTGAGGAGGGGGATCCACCAGATTTGATACTAGTTATTGGCACTCTGGGAACGGTGTACCCGGCCAATTCGTATGTGGATCGGGTGCGGTTCCATGGTGGTAAAGTGGCTGTGTTCAATACCGATATTGATGAACCCATTATTAACGGAGAGGTTAAGGATACTTGGGGTTTTGTCGGCGATGCCGCTGAGACCCTTCCAGAAGCGTTGGCTCCATTAATCGGTGAGGTAGAAGAGGTGGCCTCAACAAGCAATAGCGAGCCGGCTACCGAAACTAAAGGCACATAATTGTCCACAAATCACTCATGACTATCAGTGTTTGACAGCATTAGTCTACAACCTGAGGTTCTCCGATTGACAGTTGGCTACGTTTACTCCATATTCATCGTGAACATCGTCATAATGAATACAGTGGCTCTTTACTTTGGAATTGCTGGTGAAACTCTAATTACTATGGCAATGTCGCAAATCATTGTTTCATGGAGGCTCGCAAACTATAACTAATTTTGTGGCACTATAGCCGGTATCAAAATACCAATTGTGAACACCTTGATCGCATGAAAGAAACATAAATCAGATGCACGGCTTAGCTTTCTCCAAACGTCAGTTAACCACGTCAATATGTGCATTTCCCACAGATGTGTCAGTGCTGCTTAACTGACGCAACATTACCTAAAGCGCTCCACCACCCGACCTCACGACGGTTACCGGGGCGGCTGATGCAGGGACTGTGTAACCGGCTGAATCATTCCCCCGCAAAGGTCTACGCAATACCTGGTTTTCCCATGTCAAATTAAGAAAGTATACCCATGCTATTCATTATAACTCAAGGCGCCCCAAATCTTCCACAAAAGGCATTAATTATTGTCGTCAGCCCAATCACCGTGGGCGCCGCTTGGACTTTTTGCTGAAACGACGCTGGTTTTGGATATCGTCGATCGTCTCGATGGAGGCGATGGTCACCGTGGGCTTAAGGAAGCGCCCCGCCAGCGCCAGCGCTGACGGCGATGACAACAGGGGCGCCCGCGCGTACTTCGGGCGCGGCAGGTGCGCGTTCAGCGGGCGCCGGAAGTAGCTGTGGTCGAAAAGCGTCGGTGGCAGCAGCGCCCCCGCCATCGCTGCTCCGCTTACGGGCTCAGGCGACACGTCGCCGCCGCCACCAGATCTGACGGTATCGACGGAGTCGTTGGCGTGGCTGAAAGTGAAGAGCAGCAGGAGCACCAGGTCGGGGGTCGCCAGCAAGAGGTCGACGCTGCGCGCTCGCGACGGCGCCGGCGCCGGCGCCTGCGGTGTCGGCGCCACCATCGGCGCGAATGGCGCTGGCGCTCGCGGCACCGGTGGCACCATCGCCAGGCCAAAATCACCGGCGAGCCCCGCCATATTCATCGGCGGCGGCGGCGGGTCGAAAATCAAGTCGTCGACGTACACCTCCAAGTAGTCGCCGGGCACGTTCATCGAATTGATATGATATCAATGGCGGGTTGCTGAAACATGCGGGCGCCGCGTATAAATAAACCCCCTCTCGATGAGTGGGTCCCCTCTCTGCCAGTGGACCCTGGCCATAATAATTATTTTACTATCGCAAACGCCCCTAACCTCCAAATCCCATTGACGCCGCCGAGAGTGGCGCTTTGCGGGACCAGCCGTTGCACACGCAACCTTACGAGATTCTGGCGGGGACAGGGACCCTGCGGGCGCCGGCGCCGGCGTCATCCGCGCGCTTGGCACCGATAAGCACCTCCCCCTGTAACACCTCGATAACAGACGCTACAAGTACGCTAGCCATAGTGGTCAAAAATACCATAGTATCCAATATATCATAAACTCAATAGATCCAGTAAATTCCTTATTTACGTTTACGCCTTATTTGCCCCGATCTGGCGTGGGGTGGCGTCGGATCGGCCTGTTTCGTCAGGGGGCCCGCCCCGATTACTCCGAGATCTCGGGCGCGCCTCCCGCTATTTTTTCCCCCTCGACGTGCGAGCGCGATTAGTGGTGGCAGTGACCGGGAAAACATGTGAGGGTGACGTTGCCAGCAAACTTGAAACGACCCCGCTGCTGGGCGTCTCAAATATTATTTTGTTGTTAGTGTGCATCTCTGTGTATTCGTAAACATTAGTCCGCAATCGGACATATTAAATTTCGGAGCCGTTTAGTCGCGATCGAGGAGAGCGGCGTCGACGTCATCGCGCACCACGCGCTCGGGAATGTAGCCAGGTTCGGGCGGGAGGCCAATCTCGATATTTGCGTCGAGAAGCATCTGGGTCTCAATGTAAAGCTTACGCTTTTCCGCGACGGTTTCCGCGAGTTGGTCGGTGACTATATGGTTGATTTTCGTCGCGGTGTTGACGCGCGCTAGTAATATATCGTGGTACTCGCGCCACTCGTCGGCACTGGCTTCCGGCGTCGGCGGTGGCGGGAGCTGGTGCCGGCGCCATTGAGTCTTAACTTGTTCAGTAGCGTCGGCGATCTCGTGAAGCAATCCTTCCAGAGTGACGTCGTACTCTTTATTCCGCTCAAGCTCGTCGTACTTCCTCACGTACGTCTTGATCTGGTTGTGGACGTCGGTGCCCAGGGTGAGCGGGGCCAGCGTCGGCGTTTTGAGGTACTTCTCGAGCCGGTAGCGGGCCAGCCGGTACTGGCGGGTGTCCAAGGGGAACTCGGTGGCTTCTCTTACCGATACGTCGTTGTCGGCGGCGAGAACGTCGATGAACGAGGCGTGGTTCCAGAACGGGGTCAGGAGCAGCGCCCGCACCGTCAGCGCGTGGGCGCCGGTGTGTATGAGTTTGTGGGTGGTTTCCAAGTGGTTGTCGAGACTGTCGCCGCGGTAGTCACACTCGGGAAGCGGGCAGGCAGCGGTGGCCGTCATGGTGGCGCTGTAAGTTTGGTTGGTGGGTGGGTGATTTGAAAAACCTTTGGTGGCTGCGCGCGCCCTCGGATTATCAAAGAAATTACGTAAGATTGACGACTAGTAGTAGGGTCAAAAAACTCTGTCGTTAACAACGGAAGCCACTTTATTTGATGCTTATTATCTGTAGAGAATGATGCATAGTCGTCAGTGTGCCCCCTTGAATGGAATTACTGAGTTCGGCGTTGCTAGAACAAATTATCGTCAATCAGGTTCAAAGTACCAAGATCATTATTGCAAGAGCTAATGTACAATCTTGTAACTGGATGTTTGAAATACTCACGTTGGTGACATTGTCGATTCTTGAGTTCAGGGTCTAAGGTACTTCGTCGTGAAGGTGGGAGCGTGAGTGAACTTACACGAATCAACCGAAATTGAGTTTGCTGAAAGCACCATATGCCCTAATTTGACACGTACAAGCTTAACCCATTCAAGGCGTTGGGTGATGACAAGATCGGCCCACTTCGAATTCCCTTCGGTTATGGTGAGACGACGAAGGTTGGGGACCCGTTCCAAAAGACCCGCTCGATCAATTGTGTCTAATTCCGACACATTGGGGACGTTGCACTCCTCAATTGACAGATAATGCTTTCGGTTCATAGCTTCAATATTGGGACAATCGATTGTTAACTTTTTGGCTCTTGTTATCAACAGGCGTTTAAGTTTGGAGGATCTCACACTGATATCACGACAATCACGACTAATGTAACCAACTACTTCAAGCTGGGAGGGAATACCATCGACGGGACAGTTTGATATAACAGCTAATTCCACCAAAGTGGGTGGTAAAGGGGTGTGCTCAATAAGACCCTCGTTATAAATAACGTGTAATACTCTCACGTTCATCATCAACGTCAAATCATTAATCTGATCACAGCATTCGCATAAAACAAGTTGAGTTTGTTGACCATTTGTGAAAATGTCGTTGATGAGATGTACCGGGTGAAAAAGCATAAAGTTTTGAAGACTGGGACAATGAATGCTTTTGAAGACTCAACTCACGCTTCCAGAGACGGAGGTCCTTCAAGTTTGCACATACCGTACCGTCAGGAATCTCATCAACATCGGCAAATTCGAGCTGAGCCCAGGGAATGTTACCGAGACTGTGACACCTTATATGTTTAAGATTCGGAAGTGAGGATACATCCAATGGAGGTCTGTTTGCGGCATAAAGTTTAATTGTGGTGATCAGCGGCGGTAACTTACCTCTGAGGTCATAGTAGTAACCGAGTGGGTGAGGTTAATCAACTGCATTAGGCTTGGTGCTCTGCTCTGTGGAGATAATAATCGACACTCGTCAAACGACGGTGACGGGAATTTCGTCAACGTTGACGATAACATAGACTAATTCTAAAACAACCACCTTAGCAATACTGTTGAGATGGATGGGTCGACGAGTGTCACCGGGATGTCTCACTTTCAAGTTCAATTGCTCAACTCTGACTTGCTTGAGGTACATTTTTGCAAGCTTCATAAGGCCAGCAGGCACTTCAACGCGAATTTTGCACGGCGGAAACATCGCCAATATGTGAAAATCGACTTTGGCGGTGTCTCCGTCAAGGATGTGCTCCACGGTCACTTTTTCCACCCGTTTTATAAAGTGACGAGTGGAATTTTGCCGGAATGCCTCGTAGTCAGGGTGGGTGTTGTAAGCCTCGAACATCAGACGCAATGAGTGGAGATCAGGGAACTTGATCATAAACGTCGTAAGGGAGAGCCACGAATTTGCCTGGAGGTGGAGCCATAGCGCTAGTCGTAGGGGGTTGGTGAGTGGTGAGAAGAAGGGGGGATCACCACCGAAATTACTGGGGAGGGGGGTGGACTGACCCGTGCGGGATTTTTGTCGGGCGGATGCTCGAATTGCCTAAACTTGGTTACTTTTGGATTAAGGTGGTTCGCTTGCATAGTTTCCAACATCGATCACGTGATGTCGACATTTCCAAAACCTACCCGGTTTAGACATATGCGTGATCGTGATGGTCGGCTAGTATTACTATCAGAGCCACCATAACTGTATCCCACATCATTTTCAGGTCAATCATGTTGGCACGCTGACGCATTGCCGTCCTCGGCTTAATTCGACCATGCAATTTCTCAGCCATGTCTGAAACATCACTTGGTTCCCACCAAAGTACTAAATAGCCCCACAACGCCGTTATTTCATGTAGAGAATTGGGTTTACCGGGATTCTCTGAGAACCTGGGAAGGTTCTCATATTGATTCCCCGACCTGCAATTAGATTGTGTGGGAGGCATGCTGTAGTAAAGATGCAGCAATCCGAGGGGTAATAAGCAAAACCTTAAAGGTAACTATTGTAGTAATAAAGGTATAAAGGTAGATATAGACTGATAAATACTCTCAAGAGTAATCCGCCGCGCCCATGTATGTGATCAACATCTTTCAGTTCAGCGGATGGAAGCCACAATGTGGGGAAATAAACCGAATAGTGATTTGACTATTGCAAATCATGTGTAGTTGAAACGTGGTACCACAACATAACATATTTGAGTTCAAAATGATGCTTGACTTCACAACTCAAATATGTCCTGTATATAACACACCACGTCTCTCGTGAACTCCTGCATACATTGTACTCCCGCTCGTCTAAAATTATTTCAAATTTTCATTTCAAGTTTTTTTTCGTTATTTTTTTTTTTGTCAGGAACATCTTCTGATATCTATTACACATATATTTGAACTCTGCCGATCATAAATTTGGATTCAAAACTCACATAAGTTGTTTTGTTGATGGCAGAAGCTCGACCTGAAAATTTCCTCACTACATGCAGGATTCCTACGAGAACGCACCTAAAAGCGTCATGAGTATGTCACTTTTTCAGTTGAGTTCATGAAAGTTTTGCAGCCAGTAGTGTACATTCCAAAATCATAGCAGTGGTAACGTTCTTGACCTACTCATGAATTACAGTTAGTGGTGCTACGATTATTATGAGTAATGCACACAATAATCTATTCTGCAAGTGGGGCAAGTAGGATGCCATGTCTGAAACTACGTCAAATTGAACGTTAACTTTTCCAAATATTTATCTGCCATACTTCTGGCACCAAAAAATTTTATGAAGCTAATTAGAAGTCTGTACCAGTTTTTCCTGATTTTATAGCACACTTTATAGTTTTTCACTAAAAAAATCAAAATAATTTCATTTGCTGTATAAATGGTATTAGCACCGTAAATATCACAGTGGTGCAATTCGTTCCTTTCTCAAGGTTACTATAGATGAAGAAAGAGCGATTAAAAGAATCATGAATTATATGCACATGCAATGCTTGTGTGCAGAACCCCAGACTTGAAAGCGTGATATATGTGTCAGCGAATGTGGTAGCATCTACCTTAACCCTTCAAACCAAATGAAGATACTCCCAGATTATAACTATGCTTGTTAAAATGTGCTATTCACTTAGTAAGTGCGTGATACAACTCACCTTGTTGAGACTTGCATATTGGTTAATGCACCTGCATACAAACTTCATAATAAACGAGGTGTAAAGCCAATTCTATTACTTTTAAAAACATCATAGGTTACTTCCAATGCTCACTAGATGTAATAGACTACGATAGAAGCTTAAATTCTTCCGAAAAATAATTTCCAAAAAAAAAAAAGTTTTTTTTCCACCGATAAACTCACATAGAGACGCCGATTTTGAAGTCAACTCTCCCAAACTAGCATCGGATATACTTCCAGTGCCAAAGAGTTTTATGGAGCAAACGAAATGATTTTTTCGATTTGTCCTGATTTTATATCACACTTTTAAGATTTTCCAGAGGAAAGTCTAAAATATTCGAACAATTTCTAATTGTTGTCACACGTACTACTTGAACTCTAAAAATACAATGATGTAGTTCGTTTTCTTTCAAAGCGTGACTTACGTCATGAATGGCTTGATTGAAAGCGTGCACGTGATATGCAGGCATCATCTCTAAGTGCAGGTCTAAATTTTGCAAGCTTGAAGAATGTGTCATTTGTTGTGAAGGCTTTTAGGAGACTCTCTGAGTCAAATTGACGCGTTCATTACTTATAATTGTGTTGACAGATTTGAGGTAGTCACTGTTGGATCACGAATTGTTGTGGACTGCTTCTCTTGTGATGCACTTGCATAGAAACGTCTAGCTTGAACGAGGTGTGATATCTTTGTTATCACGATTACTACAACCGCAAGTCGCCATCAAAGTTCGTCTGCTGTTGATAGCATTCCAGTGGGATAAAAACATTGGTGGTAACATATTTGAGTTCAGTAGGATGCTTGACCTCACAACTCAAATATGTCCTATATATAACTTTTCGAAAGTTAGTGTCTTCTCGAAAACAACATCTGATCAATATGACACACATATTTGAACCGTGCAGAACGTAGAAATGGTATCAGAACCCACTCGACTTGTTTGATCAATGGTAGATGCTTGACTCAATGATTCTCCTCTACATGCAGGACGAATTCAAGACCGTACATGGAAGTACGACAAGTGCCTCAGTAGAACTTTCGCAGTCAGCGGTCTAGCGTAATGAAATTGTGATGGTAGTGACATAATTGACCCACTCACGGTTTGGAACTTGTAGCATCATGATTATCGTGTGCACTGCATACATCTGACCGTCCTGCAGGTGATTCAAGTAGAGTGCTTTGCTCCTATTACGTCAAATCTTTCGTTAACTCGCCGAGATTCACATAGGTAATAGCTCAGGTGCCAATGAGACTGATAGTAATTGGAAGCAAATAACTCATCACCAACTTGGTGGGCATCAATGTTTGGAGCTGATATTCAAAACTTCAAACGAAAGAATTGTCAAGGCCTGGCTGAGAATACTTCCTTGATTTGCGTGAAAAGGCGTCTATATTAGTCTGAAATGCGTGTATGCGATATCCGTGGGATTCTAAGCAACGAAACAACCAAACTAATGGAAGATGGAGGAGATGCAATGCTAAGCCAGACTCAACGACCGCTGTAAGGGCTTTTCTCGATCCGTTAGTTGAACCGTTTGGTGCTAATTTGGAAACCTAAAAAGTTTTTGGTAAACCATAGGAGCGTCCAATTTACCGCCGGTATCATTTTTGGTCCACTATTGATAAGTTCATGTAAACGTTCAGCTTCAATTTCATCCATCGCTTTAGTGTGAGAAGGTCGGCCTGGTAGTTAAATGAATTGCGTCGAGAACGTCCAACAGTTGCGTTGAATTGATCTTAGCATGGACGACAATCTTCCAACAAGCAACTGGCAGCATATACGCAACCTGACTATCGAGGAGTAAAGTGTTTATACGTGATGGTGAATCAGGCCCCTGGAAACTTGAGCCATCAAGACGAACATGATCTTCCTCTGGTGTTCATACATCAAACCACGTTCCCAAATTGGGTGTAGTCAGCTTATCGTGAGCACAGGAGGCAATGTAGTCAGTTCAATCAAATGATTAACAATGGAGTCAACGATAGTCACGTATCACTTATAGCCTCGGCATAAGCAAACACCGCTCAGTAGCAACCGTAGCGGACTCAATCAGTTAGCCTCCTTTCCAACTCAATGGCACTTGCTTTCAAATGATCCCACTTCCAAAACTCATATCAATCTCCAGTAATGACAATTTGGGTGTGTTATCCGCGGTTCAGCTCATTGTTTATATCTCAGGGTCTTGTGCGACGGGTGTCATTGCCATCGCGGAGTACCATCGCGCACTAATGACGACACTACGAGAGAGGCAGCACGATGAGGTGAGTTCGATCGAGCTGATCTACGGCGACACCTTCGTCGACATCACCCTGCAAAATAAAGTGTGGAACCAGGATCCGTCGCCGCACTTCCAGGTGACGGTGGCCAGCGACGCCGATCCCGACCACCCGGAGGTGAGCGTGGTGCTAGACATCGAATTCACCCAAACCTACCCGTTACTGCCACCCATTGTCAAAGTGCTCCACCCGAAGAACTTGCTACGAGCGCGTATTGCTGCCATTGAGGCCAAAATCAAGGAATTGATCAAGGAGTATCCGGAGCAAGAAGTGGGGTTTATCATCATTTCGGAAGTGAAGTTCATGGTCGACGAATTCCACAGCACCACGGAAAAAGTGCTCCTGCTTGAACAGGAGCGTGAACTCCGCTTACAGCAGCAGAGACTCGAATTGGAGCAGCGGGAACAGGCCCTAGCTCGCCAGCAGGAAGTGGAGCGCCACCGCGAGGAAATGGAGGTTACCAAACACATTGCCAACATCGACGATGAAGACACGGTGCTGGTATCAGTGCTGGACCTCGTACCGGCTCTGGGAACTGGGTATGACTACTTTGTGTTTGATCAAACAATGACGGCGGAAGTGTACGGCACTCGTCGCCAATTCCCCTTCCGAGCAGTGCTGGGTTTCATTGGCTGTCGCAAGCGGGACTTGTTGGCGCTGGTTGCCGCCCATTCGTACATTGTCAAGCCCTATATCGCTCCTAGTCTTATCTCCGAAAAGGATCGGGGGCTGGAAGTGCTGTATTTGCTTCTAGAGATTGATTTTCTCCACGAACACTGGAGCAGTGATGATGGCAAACGAGAGATCCACCAGCTAGAAGCCGAGCTCGCCCAGGTGGCCCAGCTCCGCCACACCAATCTCCAGCGATTGCTAGGTTTTCAGATCGATAAGGTGCCTGAAGGTTCAGGGTGGCGGCTACGAGTACTTACTGAGTTTCTGCCACTGCTGGAGGTTCTCCTGGAGCTATTACGGACGGCAGAATATATCAATTGGGGGCTTGCACGTAACTGGTTAATCCAACTTCTACCAGCACTCGAAACCCTCCACCAGGCGGGGCTCGCCCACCGCCAAGTGTGTCCGTTGGCGGTGCTGGTAGCCGGAGACGACGACGATAGCTCTGTGGAGAGCGAGGGGACCAAAGTGGTGAAGTTGTGTCATCCTCAGTATGGTCAACGCATCGTGCTGATGCTCACAAAATACCCCAATCCAGGAGCAGTTACACCTAATCCCGACCCGATGCCGCAAGCGTGGCGCCATCCTGATACTACCATCACCCTGAAAACGGATATTTGGGACTTGGGGGTGTTGTTTATTCGGGTTATGCTCAACTATACCGTGTTGGAGACGACCTACCCCACTCCCGATACGTTTGTCGCCAAGTTCGACCCGCAACTGTACGGGGCCCTGAGCCAGTACGCGGAGTACGTCTACGATATGTTGTGCAAAATGCTCACACCGAAGGCAGCAAAGCGGCCGCTGGCACTTGAGCTCAATGCCCTCCAGTTCCTTCGGGAGGGGCCTAACTTGAACCAAAGTTCATCGGCAGTGGAATCCGATAGCGACGATGAGACACCTGCGGTGGTTAATCGCCGCCTTTTAGCTGTCAGTGGCATGCTGAAACGGCGCTACCTGAACCAGGACGATTCTCTGGACGCCCTGTTTGAACCACCTGAAGTCGGAGGACGCTACCGTCGAGAGTTTGAAGAAGTGGGACGATTGGGCAAAGGTGGGTTTGGTGAAGTGGTCAAAGCTAGAAGTCGTATTGAGGGCTCATTCTACGCGGTGAAAAAGATCCGCTACAAATCCCACAAACTCGAACTGTTGCTTAGTGAAGTGCTTTCGCTTGCTCGTTTGAATCACCCTCACATTGTCCGTTATTACGGTGCGTGGTTCGAAGAGGCTCCCTCGGCGTCAGCGATTGCCAGTGACTCGGAAGAGGATAGTGGCAGTATCAGCGACGACGAAGACGACGAACTGAGCCAGTTCGACTCCCAGTTTACTCTGCGAAGACTGTTTCTGGTAGGATATTTCAATCAGCTGTATGAACAACTGTTTTACGAACTGGATGCGTTTGAGTTCGCTCGTGCCCTGGACGATGATAATGACAATAATGATGATGATGAGACACTGACGGAACCGTCAATTCCAGCTAGGCGCCAAGTGCTCCCTCGGCATCGTCGTCGCTCGATGACTCAGGCAGTGCCTCAAATGCTCTACATCCAAATGGAGCTTTGTGAGAACAATACCCTTTCTGACTTGATTCAACAGGGACTTCCGCTGAACAAAAACGAGTACTGGCGGCTCTTTCGCCAGATCCTCGACGCGGTGGCGTATATCCACAGCGAAGGGTTTATCCACCGTGATTTAAAGCCGAAGAACATTTTCATTGACCGGCAAAATAATGTTAAGGTCGGTGATTTTGGGCTTGCGAAACTGTCGCAATTGGCGCTGGCGCTGGTGACGAAAGATAACCAAGTTAAGGAAGGGCCCGAGCTTTCGACAGTGGTGGGTACGGTGTTCTATATGGCAAACGAAGTTGCCACCGGGGACTACGACGCTAAAGTTGACATGTACTCTTTGGGGGTGATCTTTTTCGAAATGTGCTGGCCGATGACTACGGGAATGGAGCGCGCGCATATCCTCAATCAGCTTCGTTTGGCTCGTGTTGAATTCCCTGAGGGCTTTTCCGAAGCCAAATTTGGTAAAGAGAGAAAAATCGTGCGGCTGTTGCTCGACCATGATCCTCAAAAACGACCTGAAGCTCGTCAATTGCTTCAGCTGGGATTGTTACCGGTAGAACCGCACGACCCCGTGGTTCAGGAGGCATTAAGGCTGTTGACCGACCCCGCCCTGCCGTGGCAGGCTCAGGTCCGCCAAGCCTTATTTTCTCGCCCGTATCTGGTAGCAGCCGATGTGGTATTTGACGGACGTGGTGGCTTGAAGCCGCAACTGGAAGTGGAGGCAGTGCTGTTTGAGTGTATGGTGAGTCAAGTATCGGAGATATTTGAGGTCCACGGTGCCGTACAGGACCACGAAGTGGCTCCAGTAGCTCCGCAGCCACCACCACAATACCAGAATACCGACCAGTTTAAAGTGCTTGACCGTCTGGGAGCGGTACTTACTTTACCGTTTGACCTTACCCTCCCCTTAGCCCGTCAGTGGGGTCGTTCTCCGGCTCCTGTTCCTAAGGTATGGCGTCACAATTATGTCTACCGAGCTCCCACTACTCGTCAGGGAGGCGGAGGGGCACCTAAACGATACTCGACGATGGCATTTGATATTGGTGGCTTTGACCATCCTCCTCGCACCATCCAGGCTCAAATGTATGAGGATGCTGAGTGTTTACTGGTGATTGATGCGGTAGCACAAGCGTTCCCCGGGTTCAGCGGTGACCAGGGTGTGCTCCTAGTGAACCACTACCTGGTGCTTGATGCCGTGGTCCAGTTCGCGTTCTCCTCAGCGATTGATCGAGCCAGAACTCACGAAGTGATGGCGGTACTCGCGCAGTTAGGGGTTGATGCCACTAGTGACGATATCAAGCGCAGCTTGCGTCAAGAGTTTGGGGCTCCTCACACCGTGGTCCACGATTTGGTGGATCTGTTCAACTTTACGGTCGATGTGGCGAGTGCTCGACAGAAATTGGCCCGTAAAATGGTGGATCTGGCGGCGGCATTGAAAGTGGAGCGAGCGATGGCCTACGTGGCGGATGTGGTGAAGCTTGCACAGAAGATGGGATTGAAAACACCAATTTACTTCAATCCGTTGGCTAACTACAATGCCAGCTACTACGGCGGCAACATCATGTTCCAGTGGGTGTGCCGGGTTGATAAAGCTCGTCGTTTCAGTCGAGTGGCCACTGGGGGCCGCTACGATGCTTTGATTCGATCTTTGGCCGCTCGTGACGTTCACAAGCAATATACTCCTCACGGCGTTGGGTTCTCATTGCTGACCCACTTGATGCACATCATATTGAAGCAACTGTGGCCTAAGACGCGTCATTTCAGTGCCCACAACGTGCCCCCTCGTTTACAGTGGCAGGGACAACGGGTGCGGGTGCTTATCAACGTGACGCTGGAACCAGCAGTATTGGATTCGCTGGTGGAGATTTTGAAGCTGTTGTGGCGAAGAGGAGTGAGCTGTGATCGCTACCATCTGATGCTGAATGATGATTTTGCTCATCAAGCGTGGGTAGACGGGGCGGAGTACGTGGTGCTCATTCGTCAGCCCAAGGGGAAGGCGCTGGCAAGAGGGTTCAGACCGCTTAGAGTGCGGTGTGTGGCTACGGGAAAAGACGTTGACGTTGATTACGATGAGATTGGCGACTTTTTAAGCTCGGAAACTGGGACGTCGCCCATGGTAGCTACCAGACCTGGGTTACCTTCGTTTGAGCTGACGCTGAGCTTAAATGAAGCACAAATGGTACAAGCACCGGTAGCCCAGGTTGAAGTGAGCCAAAAAGTGGTAGTGGTTGAGAATATGGCTCCTAGGGGACGTAAGAACCGCAAGGATAAGTATCTGGCGGAAATCGATGCCCAGGCGGCGGCAGCGAATTACGTGGAACAGGTGGCGGGAGCGAAAGTGATTGCAGTGGCATTGCGCGATGAGGTCATCGACATGATGGCTCAAACACTGATTGCTCTGGAGGACGAGTGGGTGCGCAAAGTGATCTACCTGACGAAGGACTTGCCCAAACTGTACGCGATGTCGATATACAACATTATGGTGAAGGAGAAGGCTAAGGGGAGCTCGTTGGTGTTGCTTGTCAGCCAGCGTACGCAAAAGACAGTGGTGGTGGACTTGACGAGAGGCGACTAAGCATTATAGCATATATAGACAACGGCATAACGATTATAGAAATTCCGCGTTCATAGGATTGATTTTGTGACCACCAGTTAAGTTTTGGTTGCCCACCAGATTTCTTGTTGACTACGCGTTTGGATTTATAAGAGAAACACATTCTTATTCAAAACATTGATCTAAACGGAAACGATATTTTCAGTGGTGGTGTAGTTGACCTCCGAGAACGACACTTGGTTGGTGTCGTGGTTGATGGTAACATAGGCGCTACGCAAGAACGTGTCGCCAAAAGTGAAGCCACTATCAGGCAGCACTGGTTGAAAACCGAAGTAGCACTTACCGGAGGGGTTGCCGTTGTTGTCGTAAATCGTGAGCGCCAAGTCCTTGTAAGGAATCTTAATCTCAACGGTGCCGAACCAAAGCGACACATACTTGTTAGACGGCGCGTTGCAGTCAATTTGGTAGCCCTTCGGGTCCCAGACAAGCGACTCCACCTTAATGTTGTTGAACAAACTCTCAGGGAAGAAAGATAAAGTGGTGCCGGTGTCCACAATCGCCTCAAACTCAGCATTGCCAGACCCACCGTCACTGTCGGTGAGCTTAACTGTGGTCTTGATCGTATCGTAGACGGCATTGTCGCCAGTAGTGACGAGAGGGATGGTTGCAATGGGACCCTTGATCTTAGCAAGGTCGCGACCACCAAAGGTGAGAGAGCCAAGAGTCGCGTCGGGCTTGTTGAGGTAGTAGGAGTACGAGTTGGACAGGGTGATACCTTCATCCTTCAACTTTTGTGGGAATCTGGTGTAGGGGACGCCCTTGGTGATGTTGAGCTTAGTGCTACCGCCAATGCCGAAAATCCCTGTCAGGTTGTCCGTCAACGTCACCGTATTGGCTAAAGCCCATTGGAAATTCTTGACTTCAACCCCGGTTTCAAGCCACACCGACGAGGTGCCAAAATCGCCCTTGGCCGCCGACCCGTCCTCGTATTCGATACCGAAGGGGATGCCACTGTTGTTGAACCCACTGGTATCCTTCAACTTGGAGGCGTCGTACCACAAGTACGGCGACCCCGTGTCCAAATCCACATCCACCGTCTGCTGTTGTTTGATAAGCCCCAAGCGAACGCTGTAGTTGGTAGTGTTGAGCTTGACGTTCTGGGCACCGGCGTTCTTCGCTCTGGAAAGGTGGTCGGTCTTCAACACTGACTTCTTGGGCAGCTTACTCAAGGTGAACGAAAGCGGCTGGGGTTGTTGGTCTCTCACCACCAACGCGGCGGCTAAGGAGACCACAAATGGCGTAATAAGCAAAACCATGGCAAAACTGTTTGACTAAAGCTTCATCAAGGAAACACTATAGGCTTTTATAGTGCAGATCATTTGGGGTCGGGTCTCCGGGGTCGGCCTTGAATTAGGCGCTGGCTGGGTGATCCCCGTAATATTGTGGTGGCTGCGGCGTTTTGTGTCAAGGAGGCGGCTTTAAATTGCATTGTCTCTCCCGCTTGCATGTGGCTCCAATGTGTCAAGCAAACAGTTAAGCGAGAATGGCTCCATGTATATTTAGGAGAGCTCCTTGTTGAGGCAGTGTGGTCACTTTCGTAAATAGCGTACTCAATACAATTTGTGAGTGTTAGCGACGCGCGAACCAAAACATACGAGTGATTTAGCCCGGTATAGTGATCTCTAGAGCAAGGCCACGAGGCAGGGGGTGGAAACGCCTTATAGTTAATATCGATCAAGTATAACCGGCTATTTCCCGAGTGGGAAGCAGCATTTAGCGCAGTGCTCGCCGTTGTCGAAGCAACGGCACCTATGACCTCACCCCCTCCTGCTATTGTTTGCCGTGAGGGGTTTCCGGACTTGTGCCGGCCGGAGAACTACCAGTGGGGAAACCAAGCGACTCAACTAGTCAACACGCCCCATACTAACAATTTCGTCGAATATACATTGTGAAAACACCGGATTTTGCGTCGAATCTATACGAGTCTAATATGGGAGGATTCTCCGACTGGTCGCGTCTAAAAAAAGCTCCGTGACTGCCGTGCAGATTGAGACACGTGAACGCCCCCTACCAGCTCTCGGTCTAGAATATGACGAGAGTTCCGTAAGGCAAATTTGGCTCCTATCTGTTATGAGATAACGATTTCCTATTTTCTCCATCCAATTTATTTCAGGAGAGGTTCCATTTGATTTAGTGTAACCCACGCGGCCCTCACTCCGGAAAAAAGTTAAATTTAGCGCGCGAAATGGGTATCTCCGAAAGGTTGGGGTTAGTAGAACAATGAAGCAGTGTATTCAGAACTATAAAATCAATTAATTTCAAAGTTTACTCAAACGCTCACAACAAGACAATGTTCTCCTCGTCGGTGTGGTGGACGTTGGAGATGAGGGCGACGTTCTTGTCATGGTCGACGGTGACGTACATGTGGGTCAACGACGATACCCCCAAGGTATTCGGGGTCCCTTCGGGGGTCGGCTGGACCCCCAAAATGCACGAACCCGTCAAGGTACCCTTATCGTCGCGAGCCCTGATCGCCAAGTCGTTAAGGGAAAATCTCACTTCGACATCGTTAAACCACAACAGATAGTACAAGTCCGAAGGGATGTTGCACGGCACGAAGATGAGCCCGTCTTTTCTCACCGTGTTGGGGACTTTCTTCTGGATTTGCGCGACAATAGCCTTGGGTAACTTCGTAATCGTGTAGCCAGTGTCCAAGTTGACTTCGATGTTCTCCCCAAGCACTTCGCCGTCGGAACCAGTGATCTTGGTAAGTTGGATATTGTCAAAGCGAGAGTCGGGGGTGCCCGTGTTCAAAGGGATGGTGGCCACGGTGCCGTTGATCTTAGCCTTATCAATGCCGCCAAACACAATGTCACCCGAAGTAGCGTCCTTTGCGTTAAGGTAGTACAGGTAGCCGTTAGTTTTGATCTGGCCGTCGTCCTTCAACCGCTGGACGAAGTTGGGGTACTTTTTATTCGTCAGCTCGTTCTCGACTCTGCCCACGCCAAAAATCCCGGCAAAGCCGTTGGGGTTCTTCGAAAGGTTGTCTGCCACCACCCACTGGTAGTCCTTCACTTCAAGCCCGTTGTCGAGCCAGAGCAGCGACGTCCCGAACCAGCCATGAAGCGAGGTCTGGTCGTAGTACCCGATCGAGAACGGCTCAGACAAGTTCTTCCACAGCGACAAGTCGTGGATCTCGGGCTTGTTGATCCAGAGATCGGCCGAGCCAGTGTCGATCTCCACCGAGAACTTCTGGCCCTTGGTACCAAGCTCAACGTCAATCATATAGTAGTATCCATCGACCCAGAGCTGGGCTCTTTGGCCCGCAGGACCCGCCCGAGTAGTTCTGTCGGGTTCAACGACTTCAGGGCGAGTGTTCTTGTTCAACGAGAATTTGAGGGGTTGAGACTCGTCTCTGATTGCCAACGCCGTGGCCAACGCAAGTAAGTATGGAGCAAATAACATGAGGAATGGGATTTGAAGTCGTCACCACCACGTTCACTGCCAATTTATACCCCGGCCAGTGGTGCCTTTTGTGGCAATTTCACCTGGGCATTGTTCTCCTCATGGCGACCGCTAATGTGCCTCCGGATCGCCCAAAAATGAAAGGAGTTTGGTGGTCAGAGTGACTCATTTCGTGGCAAATCAGGAAATCAAGCCCAGTAGTGTCCTTAGTAGATCAACGGGAGCCACACATATTAGCCCTCGGGCATTTCTTAGTGGTGTCTAAACTGATCTAAAGTGCGACAGCGGCATTATCGAATACGACACAAAACGCATGCCGGTGCCATAGCAGCGGCTTCAGGGTCCTGATTTGACTCGGAACCAGTATACCCGCGTGTCCCCGTGGCAGTCACAAAGCTCGACGACGCCGTAGCCCCTATTCACTGGCTGCAACCACAATATCAAGGTGTTCTTGATCCACCAATAAGCCCCCGTTGTACTCCACCCAACACGTGGAATTGGCTCTACCCAACGCATTTGTCCGCCAATTGTGGCCATACGACCGAGGGCATGAGCGGAGTTATCGCGTGCGGTTACCTCGAGTGAGTGATAACCAGCTTTGATTTCAAGCCTAAATCCGATAACTCGCAATTGATAGCAAATAACCGGCGTAAAGTTGCCGTATAATCGAAAGCCATGCCACAAGAAATCCCTCAAAACTAAATTTACGTTTTCCTACAGTGGTCGACAATTTACTTCTCTCAAGCAAAGCCCTGATGGCTTTGTGGCCCGCGAAAACCGGTATTCATGAAATTCATGCCATATCTGTTGAAAATCGAGCATCATCTAGTTGCTTAACCTTATTGCACGTATCCTTAAACTCATTTATTACTGCCGTCGCTCAACAGCGAATTTTCGCCTCGTATAGGGCGTAGTCTATATGCTCACAACAACTCGTCCAATCTCGCCGCCGGGTTCGTCTCGACAAAGTCCAACGACACCTTGTGCCCCACCAACTCCCGGATGTTCAGCACCCCGTACTTGATCATGGTGGGCCGTTCAAGCGACAACCCCCACCCCAACACTCTCATGTTCTTGGGCAAGCCCATCGCCTCCAACATCTCGGGACGGAACATCCCCGAGTTACCAATCTCCACCCACTTGCCCAACCCCTTGTGGTAGGCAAAGATTTCCAACGACGGCTCGGTGTAAGGGTTGTAGGCGGCCTTGAATCTGAGACCGTCGACACCCATCTTGCCGAAGAAGTCTTCCATGAAGCCAATAAGGTCACCGAGGGTGATGTCGTAGCCTGCAATCACCCCTTCCACTTGATGGAATTCTGCCAAGTGAGTAGCGTCGACGGCTTCGTTACGGAACACCCGGTCGATCGAGAACAACCGCACCGGCTTCGGGTCCTGGGCGAGCTTGTGCAACATCGCCGCCGAGATGGCGGTGGTGTGGGTTCTGAGCACCATTCTCAACGATTCCTCGGCCTTCCACGGGTAGCGGTAGCCGATAGAGCCGTACTTACCCTCTTGGTGGACCTGTTGGATGTTCTTCCAGTAAGTCTCGTCCTCGGGCTTCTTGGCCACCGCGGGGTCTTTAAGGTAGAAAGTGTCTTGTAAGTCACGGGCCGGGTGCTGTTGAGGCACGAAAAGGGTGTCGAAGTTCCAGAACCCCGTCTCGGTGTATTGGTTCGAGGGCATCTCGGTGAACCCCATCAGGAAGAAGATCTGTCTGAACTCTTCCTTGACCTTGTTCAACGGGTGCAACGCCCCCAGCTGGGGGTAGATCCCTTCCAGGACAAAGTTGAGCGGCTTGAACTCCTTTTCCTTCCAGGTGCCGTTGACGATCATGTCCAGGGTGATATCGGTTTCGAGTTGCTTGATTTCGAGGGAGAATTCAGGCCCCTTTTCCACTTGGTAGCCGATGATCTTGGTCAAGGTGACAAGCTTACGCTTCTTCAACTCCTGCAACTCCTTGGCGTCGGCGAGAGTGCCGGTGGAGGCAATGGTGTTTAATTGGTCCAACACGGTATCGGTGGGGGTCGAGTCGACAAGGGCGACGATGCGGTCACCGTCCTTCTTCAACCACTTGTTCTTGAACGCCTTACCCTGGCCAACGGCGGCGATGGGCTTGGTGACGGCCTCTTGGATTTCGGCGACCAGCATACCTTCACCAGCGGGCTTAGAAAGCACCGCCTTCACCACTTCGATTTCGGGAGTGGCGCCGGCAGCGACGTAGCGCTTGGCTTCGTCAGTAAGGTTCCACTGGTCGGTTTCTTTCTTTGTCAGCGTCACCATCAGCTTCGCCGCCAACGACGTGAGCGCCGCCTGGAGCTGCTGCGAGTCAAGCGCCTTGAACTCGTCTACCTGCAAGGTGTTGTCGATCTTCCCGTCGGCATCGAGGCGGGCAAGGAGCCGGTGTTGCAAGTCGGACATGGTCGGTCTTTGCTGAGAAGAATTTTTCACGAAAAATGAGAATCGCTTGGTGAGGTGATCGGGGACAAAGATAAGACAAAAACGATAATTACCGACGTGAAGAGAGATTGATGAGTCACAGGATGATGACAGGGGTTTAACGGAGTGAAGTGGATGTGGTAGAATTCGAGAGGAAGGGGTGGGGAGATGGTGATTGTGAGTCATTCGCGGCCTGACTAAGCCGCCACCCGATCAGTGTGGAGAGAATTCAACGTAGATCAATCCGATTAGTAGTTAGGCAAATCAGTAGTATGATTTTCGTTGAGTGAAGTTGTATAGTTCACGGATCATTGGGTAGGGGCATTGCCCCATCGTCGCGTTGTGTAGAGGCGAGTGTGGATGAGTTTTGGTACTGACGCATTTCCTCCATCGACAACTCAGACAGTACTCGTAGACCGATATCTGAATCAAGTCATGTTTGAAGTTTCGTAAGACAATTGACAAAGCCTGTATCTTAGTTATGGGAGTCTGAGCTGCCAGCGATAACCCGTTGTTCATGAAGTGCGCGTGGCTTCAGGCGCTGATCTGTAATAGAAACCGACATCAACCACCAACGTTCAACGAGCAAATGATCGGAGATTACCGAAATGAAAACTTGAAATTATCAGCTGGTAGTTGCTATCAAGTTTGGCTCGACAATTTGGACTATAAGCCAAACCCCAATTGGCTTACATTGTCGTGAACACAATCACGTTAAATTTGTACAATATCGTAAATTTCTTACCACAATTGAGATTTCGTTCATTAGCGGTGGAACCGTTGAAACGCAAGATTGGATATTGTTTAACCTGCTCGATCACGCCGATCATACGTCGAGCATAAACGTTACCCCTGACATTAGTACTTTGAAGGATTGCGCTTTCTTCCTCGAGGTCCAGTAGCTTATTGAAAGATCTCTTGGTCTTTTAGAGTTTTAGATTTAGGTGTAGTTATTGTGGTTATCGCCTCAAAGGGACATCACCATTGGTGGCGTTTCACTACATCCAACCTAAATTTGCCTCAGCCTTCCTCGTGTGTGTGTGATAACAGCCATTGAGGGTTTCTATAATTAGTCTTGAAAGTGACTAACACAGCCATCCACTCCACTGTTTCCCTTTTTAACCACTTCCTACCTTCAATTTTTCTTTTCCGTCATCAAAACCCTAAGTTTGTCATGACCCTGATGGCTTCGCCTGCGCCACCTTTGAGTCTACCCCGTGTTCCCCCGTAACCAAATCTACTAACAATTAAAATTTACCACATGTAGCTCTAAACAATTCAAAACAAAGCAAGATGTGTTTACTCCTCCACCACGGGCTCAATTGAATTATATTCTCTGCGTTGGCATCATTCGTCTTGGTCCTTGGTTACGCAGCCCGCAACCCCCCGCCGTCGTGAGCAATGACGACGACGGAAATTTCCCGCGGGGCTCCACGAGAGCAATGTCACCCGCTGACATCCCGCCCCTCGTCTGAGACTTTTATTGCTTCGCAAGGCTCACTCGAGGGGCGGCGCATGCTTACCTCGGAGCGCCCCCATTCTCGATCGGGGAATGTACGCCTCACATTTGCTTCGAGACCAACAACTAAGCTTTCAAACAGTAAAATTAATTTATAATTAACATAGAGACATTGCGTTAAATCAAGCATACGTCGGCTTGGGGTGGCTGGGTCTGGTTCCTCAAACGAATCCATTGTCTCAGTGGGCGATGCCCGGCTTGGCACAGCCGCAGCCCCGCCGCGTCATCATACGTTTGCCACGCCGCGCGCCTCCTGCCTAGCATTGCTCCTGATGTCAACCTCGCTATAAATTCCCAGCAATGCCCGCAAATCCGCCTAATTGAACATTTACCATGGTATGTCTACTTCATTGCTTGATAAAATTGACATGAAACTAACTTTAGCCTGTTACTTGCTCAGATATTCCTAAGGTCATCCTTGCCATCATTCTCCCTCCTCTCGGGGTGTTCTTTGAAGTTGGCTGCAACAACCAATTCTGGCTCAACGTGCTTTTGACCATTCTCGGGTACTTCCCCGGGATCATCCACGCGTTGTATATCATCTTCACAAGATGACCCCCTTTTGTTTTTTCAGTATCTAAGAGAAAATAACGAATGCATATTTATCAAGCAATCTGTAGATTTTCGTGTCACTTTGTCAATCTTAAACGGTCATATTAGAGATCTCATCTCGAATGTAGTATCGTCTTCTTCAAATCTCGTCTCAAGCGTAGTCGGTATCTTGTCAACGGTTTCATCGGTGGTTGCTGGATAATGAGAATAACTATATTTTGGCATTTTCGTGTTTCTAGAAGTTCAAATTTGAGTATGTTCACATTAAAGATCTCGTCTTAGATGTAGGGTTGTGTTCTCAAGTGATCGTCTCCGATGTAGTCTATATTTTGTCAACGGTGCTTGCTGTGGCGTTGCCCTCATCGAGTTTGGTCCCCACTAAATTGCGCGCATTACCACCATGTACTCGGCCAGACTTGCCCCCCGGCTATTACGACCGGTGGGACGTCAGTTCACCCGGAACGTCGTCTACCAGCGGGCTAAAACTAACGGTGCTTCCACCACGTCGGCAGCGTCGTCGTCGCTGGCAGCAGCGGCGAAGCTGGCCGGTGGCAATGGCGACGCGTCTGAACCTTCGGCCGCCACCCCGTCCACCACGTCCAACACCACTAATGTGACTCCCGGGAACGGGTTACGGTTTAACGATGAGCCGTTGAGCGGTTCTGGAGCGCTGGGCCACTCTCCCCAGTCGACTGATTGGTCGGAATCTTTCCACGGTTTGGGGTCGAAACCGTTTGACCGCGAAACTATCGATATCCTCTTGGCTCCCATAAGCGATACCGATATTGAGATCAAGCCTGACGGGTTGTTGTACCTCCCTGAAATCAAATACCGTCGTATCCTCAATAGAGCTTTTGGCCCCGGTGGCTGGGGTCTCGCTCCGAGAACGGAGTCGTTAATTATCGACAAACAGATCTCGAGAGAGTATGCCCTTATTTGTGAAGGCCGTTTAGTGCTGATTGCTCGTGGCGAACAGGACTTCTTTGGTGGTAACGATAAGGTGACGACCGCGTTAGAAGGGTGCAAGCTGAATGCACTTATGCGGTGCTGCAAGGACTTGGGGATTGCCCTGGAGTTGTGGGACCCTCAGTTCATTCGAAAGTGGAAACAAAAGTACTGTGAAGAAGTATTTGTCGAACACGTCGGCACCAAGAAGAAGAAGAAGATCTGGAAGCTTAAGCTGACCAAGGGCGTCGAATACCCCTACAAAGCGTTATAATGCTTAATTAATCTTGTGTATAGAGCCGTAATGTAACTAATTTTGTGTATAACGCCCTTTTGTTACAGTATTCCTATACGTATATTTCATTATGCTATAGCTCAGAGGCTCTTGCCGATGCCGCGGCCCACGCCCAACTCCTCAACCGTCTGCAGCAACGGTCTTCTCTGCCACACGTCCCAGAACTGCTGCTTGGGCAACTTCTCGTCGCCGTTGGCCGCGACAAACTTGGCGTCCTGCCCCGCCAGCGACGCCGACTCAGCGTGGAAGAAGTTGTCGAGAACAGCGGTGATACCGGCACCAGCGAGGCCAGTCAACACCTTGTTTCTCAACGGCATCAGCTTGAAGCCCGCGGTCAAGACAACGGTGTTACCCACGAGTACCCCCCAGAACGTGTTCCAGGCGTCGTTCTTTTCTCTGAGGTTGGTCACCATCCCTTTAGTAGCAGTGGCGGTGGCGCCAAAGGCGATGGCGGTGAGGGGCAACCCCAATTTGAAGGTGGTACGCTTGAAGAGGTACAACCACCCGTAGGCCAACGCGGTGGTGTAGCCGCCGAACTTAAGGATCTGGGTGGTCTGGGTCTTGACGTCGACGGGAGCGTATTGAGGGTAGTGCTCCGACGAGAAGAACCCGCCCAAGCGGGGGAACTTGTCGGTGCTATCAGGAACCGGGGCAGACATGTTGGTAAAATCACTTTTTCGCCCGCAGTTATTGGTCGAGGCCAAGGCGCGCACGCTACCAGGAAAAAATGATGAGCCTGACAGAAGACGCTAACCCTGAAAATTCACTAAATGAGATGGGATTGAATTGAATTGATTGACAATTGATCATTAGAGTTGTATTTGCACTAATATTTTAATTGAGTTAAATGTGAATTCTTTTTTTTTAAATTCTTTTAAATTTCCATGATGGTTGTAACTGGTCGCGACTGTCATGACAATGCTAGTGTCTGTTTGGTTCTAGCATCAATAGCTACTAAAATTATATATTTGGCAAACAAGGGGACAACATGAGTGAACTCAAATATAACTAATGGCTCATCAATTCCGACTTTCCTCCAGTTGAAGCAAGAAGAGTTTTGGTTGGATGAGCGTAATAGAGTCCAATGGCTTCTTGAATGCATGACTCAATCGTCGACTTGTTCAGGAATTGCAAGCGTGGTTGGGGATGCTTAGTTTTGATTTTACCTGAATTTCGCTGCAAAATCACAGATGGTGTAAGATGATCAGTTGTTTGTTACAATCAAAGCTATATGTACATATGTTTATTTGATTCTAGTGATGCTTCCCTTTCGTCATATTTTACAACTAAAAGATGATGGGTAAGGCGAGAGCAAGGAGGAGCCACCCGGGGTTGACAGCCGATGCCGCCAGGTCAGTATCCTTACCATTCTTAATGTAAGTACGGTTAGAGAACGGTTGAGGGAACATGTCGTATTCCACAAGCCGTTTAAAATCCCACTCGATGGTAGTTTCCGTCTTGTAGCACCAGAAGATCCACCCGTTCATCTTTGACTCGTATTGGTCCAATTGCATTTCGATAAACTTACGAGTGTTCTTCCGCTTAAGTTTCAGCCACGAGTTGATATCATTAATGGCGTCACAGCTACCGGTACGGTTGAAATTGTAGGGTTGATCACCAGCATAGCGAGAGCCTAACCCCACGCCGTTGAGCCAAGGAGTACAATCAGTTAAAGCTGCTGACCATTCACCCACCACCGCCGGGTGAGTCTCGTTACTAATACCTTCTGCAAGCCCCTTAATGTTGTTCATGTGTTCAGTGATATTCATCGGTTGCTGCTCTTCAGTAAACACCTCATACTTGTGGTGGTCAATTAAAACGTTATCCGACGTATTAAGGAAATCGTTCCAGTAAGATGTCGGTTGGAAGGCATCGTGAAAGACAATCATGTTTTTCAATTCCATCAAATTGCCAGCATTAATGTAAGCGTTTTGGAAAAACTTCTTAATCTCATTGGTGTCCAAAGTACCACCTAACGGTTCGTTAACAATCTCAATGCCGAGCAACGTATCCTTATATTGCTGAGCCATATCGCCCAGACCGTATTTGGTGAAGATAGTGTTAAGTACTTGGTAAGTAACGTTAACATTATTAGTCGAGTTGAACCAACCAGGGTAGCCAATATCACGGTAACCCGACGAGTCAAACCCATTCTGCAGTCCTGGAACCCCGTGTAAATCGATCCACACTTTCAAATCATGGTTTTTCGCCCATTCAAGCGCTTTATCCAAATAGTCAGCCGCCCCTTTAATATAAGGGTCACCGTCCAACGTGTGGAACGCCCAGTAGCCAATAGGGATTCTCACCATGTTGAACCCATAGTTCTTAATGTCAGCAAAGTCATCTTCAGTGAACCACGACAGCCAGTGTTGCTGGAGTTGCTTTTCCGCCTCATCATGGCCAAGCTGTTTACAGAAATGGTACTCGTCCACGGGGATGGTAGCCGAGGAATTGGTGGCGTTAAATTGAAGGAAAAGCGACGGGGTGATGTAGGGCTCGAGCACAAGCCACCCACCCAACGCGATCCCTTGGTAGTGGAACTGGCGCCAGTCGTAATTGGGGTCAATTGACGTCAGCGTGTTTTTGGCGACGGTGCCGTTAGTGGGGAACGCCGTCAGGTTGAGCTGGGCCACCGCTAGTGTGATAAGCCAGAGTAAAAGAAGCATGGCTGGTGGGCTGGTTGTCTAAACTCTCGCGGTTCGAAATTTATGTAAACATCCTAAATATAGACGCAGCAGCAGCACCCCCCCTTTCGGAAAGTTAAGGTACACAGACCCTGACCCTCGGAGTTATAGCGTCGATATCACAATTAAATTATGAGTGAAATAGCACGGACGAAAGACTGAGATGACAATTATTTAGAGCTTGATCTTGGTTTTGTTTGTCGCGAGATACGAGACATGTGGGGTGGCCGATGTTTACCCGGCAACCTTGGCCTACATCCGCGAGAGATGACTTTTATCGTTCAATTGCATCAATCTCGATTGCGTGAATTTGTCAGTCAAGCCAGTCACACAATGTAGCAATAAGGCCAAAGAATTGTCATGATAAGACAAATCTTCTAACTTAATGATCAATTAGCATGGACAACGATTGTGATTGCCACTAAGCGAGTCAAAGTTGTTTTCGTACTAGATCACCAGTTAATATTTCTGTGAAGGTTGAGATGTTAGTAGCTGGGTTTGGATGTTACTAGCCTGGTTTGGATGTTAGTAGCTGGGTTTGGATGTTAGTAGCTGTTACACGATTGCATCATTACATAGTCTATGTACAATTAGTCGAGGGTTTCGGCGGCGTCGACCTCGACGACGGTCGCCTGCTCGCCCAAGATGTTGTTGATCGCCGCCGGCGGGTGGGCGGCGATCATCATCACGACGACCTCGTAGACGTCCTGGGGCACCGATCTTTGGTAGATGCCAAGGATGTCGGTGGGGTTGGGGTACACCGCCAACGCCTTGTAGAAGCAGATGGCGGCGTCGATCTTGAGTTGAGGCTTCGTCGCCAACTGCTCACCAAGCGCCACCTGTTGCATGAAGAACAGCTCCTTCTCCGACAAGTCGGTGGGGATGGGGTTGGCGGCCAAGTCGTCCAAAAGCGCCTGCTTCACCAGCTCCAATTTGAGCTGTTTCAGCTCATGGGCCAACTTCAGCGCCTGCTTCTCCTGGTCGACGGCCCGCTTCTTCAACTGGCGGCGGAAATTGACGTCGTGTCTTCTTCTGTAGTCAAAGTAGACGGCATAGCCCACGGCGGCGGCGGCGGCGATACCGGTGATCGTCCAGAACAGCGACTTCGACGACATGAATGGATGGCCATTGGGCGAGGTTTTTTCACCTTGGTGAGACCCGTGTCACGTGACATACTTTTAAGGCACTGACGTCATCACTAGTCTCGCACCCTACGGCCGGTTCCGGTATGATTCATTAAGTGCGATTTTTCGCCCCACCGCTAATTTCCATATATCCCATTTGATTAACAAAATGTCGAAGCTGGTGAATCTCGCCGTGATTGGCGCCGGTGTCGTTGGTCTGGCGTTCATCCGTCAATTGGCGGCGCTCAAAACCAACGTCACTTTTAACGTCGTCTACTTGGCCCGCTCGCTGAAGGAGGCCGTCTACAACGACGACCACTCCCCCATTAACCTCAATGCCTACCAGCTGGCGGCCGCCAAGCCCGTGTTGTCGGTGTCTGACCTTATTAGCTTCCTCACCAAGGCTAACAAGCCCACCATTCTCGTCGACAACACCTCGAACCCGCAATTGGCCGATGCTTACCCTCAGTTTGTCGAGGCGGGTATTTCCATCGCTACCCCTAACAAGAAGGCGTTTTCGTCGGAATTATCGCAATGGAAGAAGATCTTCGACGCCTCGGCCAAGCCCGGGGGCGGGTTGGTCTACCACGAAGCCACCGTCGGCGCTGGTTTGCCCATTATCGGCCCGCTTAAGGATATGGTGTTGACCGGTGACAAGATCCAAGTTGTTGAAGGTATCTTCCTGGGTACGTTGTCGTACATCTTCAACGAGTACTCGACGACGCTGCCTTCGCAAGTGAAGTTCTCCGATATCGTTGCCAAGGCGAAACTGTTGGGGTACACTGAACCCGACCCTCGTGACGATTTGAACGGGATGGACGTGGCGAGAAAAGTCACCATTGTCGGGAGAATTGCTGGTGTCCCCATTGAGCTGCCCACCGCGTTCAAGGTGGAACTGTTGATCCCGGCTCCCCTCGAGTCGGTGTCGCTGGCGGCGGAATTCTTGGAGAAGTTGCCCCAATACGACGACGAAATGCAAAAGCTTAAGGACGAAGCGTTTGCCAACAACCAGGTGTTGAGATTTGTCGGTAAAGTCGATGCCACTACCGGTGAAGCGTCGGTGGGCATTGCCAAGTACGGCTTTGACCACCCCTTCGCCGGGCTTAAGGGCTCCGACAACGTGGTGCTGATTAAGACCGACCGCTACCCTAACCCGTTGGTGGTTCAAGGTGCCGGTGCCGGCGCTGACGTCACCGCCCACGGGGTGTTGGCCGACACCGTGAGAATCGCCGAACGCATCGCCCAATGACTAGCCACCCCTCGTCTATAATAATAGAAGACAATAAGAGATTGACCGATTTGAAACGTGATAGTAATAATTATGTCAAATTAATGTGCACAACCAGATTGTTCATCTTTTAAAAACAATTGGAAAGTAAAAATTAAAAGGAGCCAGTTTCTGTAGCGACAGAATCAACAAGCTGTTTGTTAATGGAGAAGTCAGTCACCTCTACCCAAAGGAAATCATGCTAACTAACATGTTTTCAGACACGATGATCTGAACATTGTTGAATGATACTAAGTAGAATGGAATATTTACCCAAACGGTCCGAAAGTGAAGACTCGTTATCGTTCATGATGATTTCTTCAACATTCAGAGGTCACGCTAAATTGATGACAAATTGCACTACATTTTTCAATCATTATAGTTAGTATTAACCCTAAAAAACGCTATCAAAATTCATCCCATTCGTTTTTCTCATAGACTCGTCGTAATTGATTATCCTGGGACTTGAGCGGCGGTAAAAAGTGAGGTTGAAAGGTCACCGTCCCATTGCATACTAATGACGGCGGCGGCGAGCCCGGAGGATAGCCCAATTGCTCGACGGTGGCAGCGCTGTCACACTCAAGATGCACCAAATGCGTAAGCCCTGTGAATCGCAATTTGGCGTGATCACCCCACTTGACACGGCACAATGCGACCAGTCGTATCGACGAAGGGAGTGTAATACCGTCGTGGTAGAGATTTCTGAAATCAGCATAGCCGATCTCCACCGATTTGAGCCTATCACATCTTTCCAACGTCGCCAAAATTGGAATGCCACCACGTCGACCCTTACACTTTTCCACCCACTGATCATTGAGGTAGGAGATGTATAATTTTTCCACCATTCTGGGAATGGAACCGATTCGTCCCGGCTTACTACAAGAAAGATATTGGCATTTGATGCCATCAGCACGGTCAAGCACGGTATCAAGCAATTTCAAGAATTTGGCCTCAATCTGTGGACGCTTGAAGTTTGACCAAAATTTGCAGTGAAGAATCTCTACGTGCTTCGCCGTAAGAGCCACTCTCGACAATTTCATTCTTTTGAGAATAACCGATTTGAGACGGTGGCTGATCTCGACCGCCTGGTTTACCTTTCTCATCGAGAGATGAACAAGTCGGGGAAACTGTTTTAATGGGACTTTGGTCCCATCCACTTTTAAGTTCACGATGTTGGGGGCGTTGGGATAGCCGACTGACCTGACTGCCGCAACGGCCAATCTCGTGAGTTTGATACAATTAAGAGTCACGGTTCTGGCTCTTAAAATGTTGACGTATCTGACAGTTTCAGAGTTAATGACTATGTCGTTAACTTCAGGATTATCAAGATTCTTGTAGCCAAAAACTTTGAGTTGGGAAGGGATTCCCGTCACCGGTTGCGACAGTACCATGACAAACTCATCCACATTAGGGGGCAAGCGCGTGAACTGGTTGAGAACCTTGTCAAATTTTATCTGTAACACTTTCATCGCAAAAAGCATATCCATGTCGCGAACTGATAAAGTGTGCGCCCGAAGCATCGTAAGTTGACTCATTTGATTGTCGGTGAAAACGTTCGTCGCGTCAACACCATGATGTTGGCCAAGAAGAACGACCTCTTGAAGTTGAGTAGACGACATCTCCTTAAAACAAATACCATCCGTTATGGTCATCTCCCTCCACATCTCTGGTGACCAGTAGTTTGCGCTCGAAACACAGGATAATTTAACACACGTCCCCTTGATAATGTAGAAAAACGGACCTTTGAAGTTTTTGAGATTAGGTAACAGGGTTGCATTGAATGTGAGTCTCAAGTTGTCGCAAATCTCGATGTCAGTCACCAGCAGTGGCAAGACAAGTGTGCCAGCGGGAGTGAATCGCTTGGCCCTGAAGTGGGTAAGTTGAGTCAAGTGCTCGAAGTTTAGAGGCAACTTGGTCCGACAGCCGTCGAGGGAGAGCTTTCGAACCGACCGCGGGATCGTATTAGGATTTAACTCGATACACCCGAATATCAGAACTTTGGAAACACGCCCGTTGATACCGGTGAGGTCCACGCCCAGGTAATACTTAGGGATATGTTGCACCAGCAACGTCAACTGCGAATATTTCACTTGGTTGAGGTGCCACTTTGTAAGGTCAAGTTGGCCACACGGGGTACATACCAGAATTTTACACGGGGGAAGCCGGGCGTATGTGGAAAAGTTGATCCAGGGGGAATTGTCATAGCTGAGCTCGTCCGGGGTCACATGTACCACGAGTGTCTTGAGGTGGTCGGCCAACCGCGCCGTAAACTTGCTCAATTCGAGATTGAGGAAGAACCGACAAAGGTCAGCCACCCCAAGGTGGGCATAAATCTCCGAGAGGATCTCGTTTGGAAGCGTTTCAAGCCGTAGCGTTTTTTCTGGTTGAACGTCCATGGGGCAGCGATTAGGGTCGATCACCAACCCAGATAGACTGAGTGCGTGCGCACTCTAGCTATTGGGAATCAGAGGCAACTCGGCTGCGACAACCAGAAGGTATACATCGAGGGAATGGTGAGACGATGATCGCGTGGTCTCAACAGCGATGGGTGTGGACGTTTTTATCGAGGATCAACGCACCCCACATATTCTGTGACACGAGCCATCCCAATGTTTGTCTGAAGAAAACCATTTGCATTCTTGTTGGGCATGACTTACCCCTATCGCCCCCCGCCAGCATTCGAGTATGTTTCAATCTGCCATTCCTGATAATGACAGAGCAGCTCAATCCAACGCCAGATTTGGCTAAAGCCTGAAAATGGATTGATGAATCAGCCAAAGTCAGTCAGACTCGTGCCAAAAACACCCTTCATTGAAAAAGCTCATGATGAAGAAGCTCATAATGACGTTGTTTGTTTGGTGCCCATTGTAAAGTTAGTGGGCTCTCAAAGGTGAAAGCTTACACACTGATGAGGTTTCGTCGGAATCCAACAACATCAGTAATGGCTGGATAAGCGACTAGCTTCAAGTCGAAACAAAGCTGGAAAGAAATCAAATGAATATTTGCTGATCGCAAAAGCCCAAATGGCTAGTCGAATCAACAAGCAATTTCCTGTTAAGGTGTTTGCCTGCCTTGATTGAGTCGACCAAATTTTCTTGAATTGATTTTCAGGATTGAACACTGTGATTCAAAACCAATTGCCAGTGAACTAAGGATAACTTTCAAACCATATCAAGACTTGATGAGTCTACTCCAAGGCGCCAGCAAGCTGTCGTTAACAGTTGACATTGACCTCAAAACACCTTGTAAAGTATTGCATAGCGGGATTCAAAGTATCACGGGATAGCCTTTGAGACTTGACAAGCATGTCTTGTATTTGGTCAGTTGATCATCCACAGAGTTCGAAGTAGCACATTTTGGCGGTATTCAGTCCAGGATAGCATTCGAAAACATTGAGTATAACATGCTCGAGCTTTAAGCAACCAACAATAATCCTTCGCTTAATGCGCCGAAAAATACTGACCTGTGCGCAGTACTGTAAATACGAGAAAAATGACTTGACAACGAAGAAACGAAGAAACGAAGAAAGTGTTGGAAAATTCATTACTTCGTATCCATAAATAACTGGAGTTTCCAAATTACATATATATACAAGTTGCATAATTTTGAAGGAAACAACCTCGATAAGTGTTAGTCATTATAATCATCACTTGATAAACTTGCCAAATAACCCATACTTCAATCACTGAATTTCTGCGTCAATTTCTTCGTCAATTTCTTCGTCAAAATCTTTGTCAATTCCACAAATCAGTAAAAGTGTCGAGGTTATGGAATCTCATTGATAGTGGCACATTCGAGGGGATTGAAGTAGAGTAACAAATCGTAGACGGTTACACTATAGCCCTGTTCCACGACCGCCTGGTATATTGGCTCATCCCAAAAGTATTTCTGACCGTGCCGTTGGCGGTACCAGTTCATGTAATCCACCCAGATGTTGTTATCGCGAATGTAGTATAGCTCGAATACAAGAGCGTAGGCAGCCAACACGTTAAGCCAGCTGAGAGCTAGCGGATTCTGGGCATACACCAAGTCCCAAAACGCATCCGACACGTTTACAAATACAGGATGGCACTCGAGCGGATATAAGGTGATCGTGGTGCGATACAATTGTTGATCGAGAACAGCAAACGCGTGTCTGACAATAGCCACGTCAGCCGGGGTCCCTAGCCCATCGGCGTGGGTGTCGATAAACTCTATTATGCGGGCAAAAAACGGAAACATTATGGCATTGTCGTTGCTAGGCGAACACAAACCAAGGATGCTTTCGTAGGGCAGGTTCTGCAAATATGGTAGCAACGTCGCGTACGTTTGGCGAAAACCATTATTGTAGGCAACGAAATCATTACCGCCTCTAGTGAAATCGACCAACGGACAAGTGCCCGAAGGTAACCTCTCTAGGATAGCAAACAAAAATGTCAACGATGTCATGAGCACTCTCGCCTCGGTTGTTGTACAGGTATTATCAAGCACTTTCCCCATTTGTCGACTGGTTGCCAGGAGTAAATAGTTGTACAGGTTCATGACAAAGTTGTACACCTTGGCTATCGACAACTCCAGCCCGTCATCGATGGGGGTATCCCCCAAAAGATACCGACGGTTGTTGTTGCCTAACAAGATCAATCCCAGAAACGCATACAATCCCAGCTGGATCAACTCCAGCGTGGCGTAGAGTCTCTCCCTTACGTTATTCCACAACTGTATTCGTCGGAAATTGTGACTGACGACGTAGTGGCGCGAACTCCAGTCGATCATGAACCAAATGATCCACATTTCCATCGACGACATGTAAGGTTTATTAGGAAAAAGAGAATGAACCAACGACTCCAGCACCTGAGGAGAAATGGAATCAATGAGTGCTTCATTACGAAGAGCCTTCGCCGTAACCAGCGAGTCCTCGGAATCCACGTGAAACAACTCATCAAGGGTGTCGACGATCAGATCGTTATTAAGGAATCCTTCGCCATTGGCATCACTTAGCAAATCGGTAAGTCCAAGGACACCATTATGTAGGTGGTGACCGTCCCCTATCAATTGAAGTACACCATTTTGTGAGTGGTCATCTACTATGACTTCAACGGGATTAACTGACGTGCTATTGGATAAAATCTAGGAGGTGGCAGCGGTTGATTTGGTCGAGGTTGGTGAATCGGGATACACGCACTCTCGGTTGCGATGAACGCAATATTCACACGGTCGTTTGAGGTCACACTGGCGTTAGTCATATTTGTCACGGCACACAAAAGGACAACTGTTTACTTACTTTGATATGGAGGCGGCGACAGTTAAGACATTTGCGTACTGACGGGCGCACCATGAGCAGCCATGATCGCTAGCGCGATCAGCCGGATCGTTTGGAAAAAAGCTAGCCAGATATATTGTTTAGGCAAAGACATCATTGTTTGCCACGACTCAAACGGAACTCATTCTCGTGATTCAATCATCTTGAGTGTAGATTTCTCTGGGACTAGATGTAAATGATTTTAATTAATATTCGTACTTCTTCTGCGCAAATCAAGCACCTGGGGCGCATGCTAGCGGTGGGACAAATCCTCGACGAGAACCACTATAAAGGCTATTTCACATGAACCTCGATAAATCCTCGGTCAGTATGTCGATTAGTAGTACAAATACAAATAATGTCTCGTGCGTGAAGACGCATCGTGCTTGTGTGGTTGTCGTTCGTGGGAGATCTAGATTCATAATAATGATCTCCACTTTTGGTGCTATTATTCAGGTATTTGTGTCACTGAAAGGATATGTACACCGAAACCTGCTTCGTGTTATTGGTCACAATATTGGACACAATACGGGCACGGTCGGCCGCCGACGCCACAAAATGCCAGATTTCCGCCATACACGATGGCCGGGGGGGCTATTTTTTTTTCAAGGGAGCACCGACAAAATATATCGTCGGTTGTAGCTGATTTTATGCCGTTTCTTGCATCTCGACGGAATAGGAAGTTTAGTTCGATTACTTCGCAGCTCGTAAATTCTTCATGGCTACACCCACACCGCCCCTGGAGTTGTCAACGACAATAAATCCATGCGCCACGCGTATTTGTAAAATTAGGAATGAACCAAGTTGTTTCTATCACTCTGTGAAGAAAGGAGACTTAAATACAAATAGAAGTCTTTGTCGAAGAACGTAACTGCCAGTAAATTCTGTTTACGTCGTATGCTAGCCTCAACTGGTGTCGACCGCCTCGTACTGGTGATTGCTTATTATCTGAAGGCGATATTTTCATCGACACTAACGTCCGCTTATCTGAGCAACTTCTGGCTCCGCCAGCTTATCCACGGGAGAAAATATATGTTGGCCAAGATTGCTCAAGGATACGACGTGTGGTGCGAGAATGGGCACTACTCGAGTCCGACAGTGAAACACCTCAATGTTCACAACCGATAAACCCGACTAGTTTTTTCAACTAGTTTTTCCAACTAGTTTTTCGCAGCATTTTCGACTAGTATGTTTGTAGTGATGATGTCATCGGTGGTCCAAGCGCGACGCGAATGAGACTACCACTGATCGCTCCGGGACGCGATACCTTCTCCATCCTCCTCACGACCGATAACCATGTGGGAGCGTATGAGGACGATCCCATCCGTGGCGACGACGGCTGGAAAACCTGGCACGAAATCACCAGCATCGCCGCCGACCGCGACGTCGACATGATCGTCCAGGGTGGCGACTTATTCCACATCAACAAACCGTCGAAGAAGTCAATGTATCAGGTGATGAAGCTGATACGGGCTAATTGCTTTGGTGATCGACCAGTGGAGATGGAATTGCTCCTGGATCCCAGTGGAAACTTCACTCACGGTTTCAATTTTGTCAACTACGAAGACCCTAATTTGAACGTGCTGGTGCCGATATTCAGTATTAGTGGTAACCATGATGATGCCACCGGTGACGGGTTATTGTCTCCCATTGATATCTTAGCGATTCTGGGGATGGTGAACCATTTTGGTAAAGTTGAGAATAATGAGGATATCGAGGTGCTGCCAATCTTGCTTCGCAAAGGCACCACTCAGTTAGCGCTTTACGGGCTTCAGAATGTTCGTGACGAGCGGTTACATCGCAGTTTCCGTGACGGTAAGGTCAAATTCCTCCGTCCTACCGTCGATACTAACCTGTGGTTTAATCTCTTTTGCATCCACCAAAACCACGCCCAACACCTGATTACCCTGCATATCCCCGAACTGTTTCTCCCCACATTTCTCGACTTTATTCTTTGGGGTCACGAACACGAGTGTATCGTCGATCCCATGCCTAACGCTGCCATGGAGTTTGATGTGCTCCAAGCGGGGCTGCTGATGGCGACGCTGTTGGCTGACGGCGAGCTTGCGGCGAAACACGTGTTCATTCTTAATATTAAGGGGAAAGATTATTCGCTTGAGGCGATCCCTCTTACTAGCGTGCGTCCTTTCATTCTTAAGCATATTACTTTGGAAGACCTGCCAGTGGAACCAGGACCTTCATCGCGAGCGAGCGTGGTGAAATATTTGACGGAACAAGTGGAGGAAGCGATTGCTGAGGCTAATAATGAGTACTTGAGGCGACAGCACTCGGTGGGTGTAAATGTCGACCCGCCGCTTCCTTTGATTCGTCTTAAAGTGGAATACTCTGGTGGCTACGAAATTGAAAATACTCGACGGTTTCTGAACCGTTTTGTGGGTAAAGTCGCTAATGTTAATGACATCATCCATTTTTATAAGAAGCGACAAGTATTGGAAAAAGTCGATAAACCAGAAGCGGTGGCCAAAGTGATACCCGAACGGCCTGAAATTAAACTTGATGACATTCTCCACCAAATGCTTGGGGAGACAAAGCTTACGCTTCTTCCAGAAAACGGGATGGACTTTGCCGTCAAGAAGTACTTGGAAACTGAGGATAAACACGTGCTTGAAGGGTATATCAATCAAGAGATTATCCAAGAACTGCAGCTGTTACTCGGTGTGGAAATCGATACTGATGAGTTTCATCGTGATGATAATCACTCTCGCAAAGTATTGAAACAAGTTCTTGAACAGCTTAAACGAGAACAGGCTAGGGCTCCCCCACCGACGTTAGACTTTAAAGCTGATGCTAAGTCTCTGAAGAAACTGGCGGCGGCTAAGGGTAAAGCTGCTGCTGCTAAACTGAAGAATACTAAATCTTCGAGAGCCAAACCGGCTAAGAGCAAGGAGTTTATCGTAAGTGATGATGAAGAGGATGAAGAGAGAGATGAAGGCGAAGAGGAAGATGAAGATGATGTGATGATTATTAGTGATTCTGATAATGAGGCACCCCCAAAAAAGCCGACTCGTCGTAAACGTACTAAATAGATTGCAATAGACGTCAATTGACACCTCAATCTTTGAGTCAAAAACGACAAGTAGAGTTTGTAAAACGAACCTATTATACTATAGATGTTTACAGACCCTCAAATATCGTTATACATAGGCTAGAACCAGAAAATCCCATCAATGTCACATCACCAAAAACGTTCAATAAAGCCAATACAAAAAAAATCCAACAACGGTTCCGTAGTCTAGTTGGTTATGGCGCATCCTTAACACGGATGAGGTCCCCGGATCGAGCCCGGGCGGAATCACTTTTTGTGTCACAATCCGATTTTTTTTTTCTCAGTGTGAGGCGCGTCGGTGCCTTTGAAGTACTGCTTCACCTTAGACCACAACAAACCCTAATTCACTCTAAAAATTAACTTTTCAACAAGATCGATGCGTGAACCCTATTTCTCATGGTCACGCCAACAAGACCCTCGACGCTTTAGACGTGGGAACTTCAGCCGATCGAGTTTTTAGAAGATTGTTTCTTAAGTATACACACGCGTCTGGTGGTTCCCCTTACTCCTAGCTTAGTAATAGTCGCGTCAATATATTTAGCGGTTGTTGCCAAATGTCGTTGATATGACTCGCCAATGCTAACAACCATCCGGTGGAAATTGCATTATTGTTTGATGACACTTGTCTGTGGTTGGTGGGAGACATAATTCTGGAAAGGGGACAGCATTTCTTTCGTTGTACACAAAGGGCGATGAAACTAGTCCGAGGCCACACGCTCATAATCAGTACCGCCGCGACCTAAAAAAAAAAGCTAGTCAACGCGCCAATTAATCCTAATTCGGGTCCACCTTTTTCGACCCCCACGAACACTCCACTTTCTCGAATTCCACAGATATCAACTCCCAGCGTTTACTGAACTGCTCCCAGACATTTACAAACACCCTCTATTCCATATTCTTACCCTCCTATCCCATTACCGACTCTTTAAAGCCTCCCACCGCCTTGGTTCGCTTATCCGAAGCCCCGCCCCTCACCCCCTTGATCGCGCGCCCAAACAATAAAATTATCCAGTGGCAGTGGACTTCCTTTAGGGTCTTATTGAGAGATAACTACCGAAGAAATCAGCCTTTCTTTGACCCCAACATTACCTCTAAGCTCTACCTGACGACCTACCCCTCCAGACCACAAACACATCCTTGTATTCGCCAAATAGCCGCCACGCCCAGGGTTCGCCAACGCTTAAAGGCCACGTTTTGGCGCGCGCGCGACAAAAACGCTAATCTTTCCACTCTTCAATTGTTTCCACCACCACTGACACCGACGCTGTCCTTGCCTAATGCTGGTCTACACAAGCGATATCAAGCACCATCGACGGGCGCCGCCGCCGCCAGGGGAACACGGCCTCGCCGTGGGCGCTGCCGGGGTGGGGGCGCTGCTGGTGCTGGCCACCAAGCGGCACGCGGGGTGGGTCCATCTTAAGGACGACGGCATTTTCACCTCGTTCCGGTGGAACAAACGGTACATGGTGATCACCGACAAGACGGTCAACTTCTATCGCCTGGATGATAACGTGACCCTGCAGCAGCCCGACCTTTCGTTCCCGTTAAACCTCATCGCCACCATCAACTTAAAGCCGCTGACGGGGTACTCGAAACTGCTGCAGCTGATCGAGATTGTCCCCAAAAACGGCGGCAAGGCGATGCTCATTTCGATCAAGCTGAACCACGACTACTTGGACTGGCTCGACGTGTTTACGCGTAAGTGTCCTTTAGTCCAGATCAATAACGGTACCACGACGCTGCTGGTGCTGTCGCCAATCAATTTTACCCACCGAGTCCACGTTGGCTTTGACCCGGCGCTGGGTAACTTCACGGGTTTACCCGATACCTGGAAACTGTTGTTGCAACACTCTAAGATCACCAATGAGGACTGGAAAAAGGACCCCGTGGCAGTGATTGAAGTGTTGGAGTTCTACAGTGACATTAACGGCGGTATGGGCATGCTGGGGCAGACGCTGCCTCTGGGAGGGATGCTGGCGCTGCTGCTGCTGAACGGCATTTCCCTGGCTCCGCAAGCCAAGCAAATCGCTCCGGCCCAGCCTGGCTCTCATGATTGGGTGAAACACCCGAAACCTCAGCAGTTTAAGCCCACGCGGGCGGCGCCCAAGCCTCCGGTACCTTACCATTTGACTAAGGACCAACTGAGTCAATCGTTGCTGACACCGTCGCAACAGACCCTGTCGCAGCTGGGCCCGTCGCAACTGGGCCCGCAGCTGGGACTCGAGGCCGTTCGCCCGCCGCCTCCACCTCCTTCTCAGTTACCGCGTTCGGCGCTGCTGACCTCGTTGTCTCAGCATGCTCAAGGAGCCCCCTACCATGGCGCCGTGCTGCAACCTCAGGCCCACCCCGCGTCTGGGGTTAAAGCTCAACTACCCTCGCATCCTCAACAACCGCCGCCTCAGCAGCAACCGCCGCAACAGCAGCAGCAGCAGCAACGACCATGGCCTCAGCAACAACAACAGCCACCCCAACAACAGCAATATCAACAGCAACAACCTCAACGGCCTCAACAGCCTCAACAACAACAACAACAACCCCAACAGCATCAACAGCAGCAACAATACCTCCAAAAGCAGCACCAGCAACCACAATACCAGCAATACCAACATCAACACCAACAACAACAACAACAGCAACACCAGCAGGCTCCCCAACAGCAGCCGCCTCAACCCCCCCAGACTCCTCATCAACAACGCGTGCATCCTGATCTTAAGATCTCCAATAACTACACCCAACCGCAGACGCCTCAAGGGGCTCCGCCAAAGCAGGCTCCTCCATCGGCAGTACCTCCTCCCGTGTCTAACGATGCCACTGCTGATTCGCAACCGATTCCTCAAGGGTCTAAGTATACTGCACCGCTGCCGAGCCAAGCTGACTACATCAAGCCGTTTGGCCTCACGTCGAAGATGGCGCAGTCGTCGCCGAGTTCGGCGCCTCTGTCACTGACACCGAAGAAGGGTCTCAACGTGATGAAGACGCCGTCGAAACCCACCCATGCCAAGAAGCCCGAGACTAATGGTCTGGCCCCGGCACCAGGGGCGCTGGGGACGTCGGCTCTGAGTAAGCTGGCGAAGCAGTTGAAGAAGGAGCGCGAGAAGCTTAATGACCAACAGATTCTCGCCAAGCTTAAGACGGTGGTTAACCCTAAGGACCCGACTCCCTTGTTCAACATCATCCAAAAGGCGGGTCAAGGGGCCCTGGGGGCGGTGTATCTTGCCGAATACATTTCCAACCGCGATAAAGTGGCGATCAAGCAGATGGACTTGAACGTGCAACCGCGGAAGGAGCTTATCATCAACGAGATTCTCGTGATGAAGGACTCGCAGCACAAGAACATCGTCAACTTTTTGGACCTGTACTTACGCGGTCTGCTGGACTTGTGGGTGATTATGGAGTACATGGAAGGTGGTTCGCTTACGGAAGTGATTGAAAACAACGGCTACAAGCTTACTGAACGCCAGATTGCCACCATCAGTTTTGAGACCCTTAAAGGGTTGCAACACTTGCACAAAAAGCACATCATCCACCGTGACATTAAGCTGGACAACGTGTTGTTGGATGCTCGCGGTAACGTCAAGATCACCGACTTTGGTTTCTGTGCTAAGCTTACCGACCAACGTAATAAGCGGGCGACGATGGTGGGTACTCCATACTGGATGGCCCCCGAAGTGGTGAAGCAAAAGGAGTACGATGAGAAGGTCGACGTGTGGCTGTTGGGGATCATGACGATCGAGATGATCGAAGGCGAGCCGCCGTACTTGAACGAAGAGCCGCTTAAGGCGCTTTACCTCATTGCCACCAACGGCACCCCCAAGTTGAAGAAACCTGAGCTTTTGAGTAACCTGATTAAGAAGTTTTTGAGCATTTGTCTTTGCGTCGATGTGCGGTACCGGGCCACCACCGATGAGTTATTGGAACACAGTTTCATCCAGCACAAGCTGGGGCTGATCGACGAGTTGTCTCTGTTATTGGAATGGAAGATCAACGGCGACCAACAGCACTAAAAGCGGATTACATCGACATTAATAAACGTTTCATGAGTAAGACTAAAGCGTCGTATATTTCCGACAATAAATAGAGAGGGAGTATCTTGAGTAATGTCGAAGACGTGTGGTCACCGCGTGTGAGTGTCCGTCTGACGACGATGGCCCCATTGTCATTTGTGTAAGCTGTGTCGTTTGGTGTCTACTTTTGGTAGCATGTTGGTGTTTTGTGGAGGGTAGCGTGCTGGTATTTTGTGGAGCATCGCGTTGGTGTCTTTTGTAAAGTGTCTATTTTTTTGTCTTGTTTGATGCCATTGTTTTAATGAGTGGGAGATAAGCTTTTTGATCGAGGTGCCGGCGACTGTTGCACCAGCGATGGTCTCGGGGACCACAGAGTTAAGGTTTCCCGCAGGCGCGGGATCTTAGAGATGTTGTTATTGTTATGACGATGAACGGGAGAGATTTTAGGTTGGGAGCCATCTAATGACTCTCGGATTAACACAACATAATCTAATTGAGTCCTAGCGTAAATGATGTTATAACGGTTTAATTAAAGTCTAAAGCTTCGTGGAATTGTAAATAAACATTATTTTAGTTATTGCCTTGTACTGCCTCATGCTAGTTAGCGACATCAATCGAGGACGTCGACCTCGGTCGTTTGAGGGGTACCCCTCGATTTAGCTAGACACCACATTGTCTACGCTGTCGGTTGTGCCCCCCAGTCTAAGCCCCTGTCGGCCCCAGCCCCCCGCCTTGGGGTATTTTTGGGGTAAAATGTCGCTGGTTCAGCGACAAACGCCGGCGCCAGCGGCGGCGAGTGCACCTGATTTTTTTATGATTTTTTTATGATTTTTTATGATTTTTTATGATTTTTTTTTTAAGCGTCGGTTTGGGAAATTAGTGTTTGGTGCCTGGCTCCAAGATCTCGTCAAGCACTTGAAAAGTGTGAAGTGAAAGGAATAGTAAATCCTGGAACAGATGTTTTTTTGAGAGTTCTTTTTGCGATTATTTGCTTGATATTTAATAAGCTTTTGTTTGCAAGTGCTCGCGGGTGACCTTTTCGGGGGGGAGGCGATAGTGGTGTTTGTGGCGGAGACCCATGTGAATCTCCGAGGCTGCGCTTCCAAGCAGAGATTATATTTTTGTTGAGATAGCGTAGCCACAAGGGAGACAGTCTGTATGCACCCGGCACGGCGGGTTTATTGCTACAGGTAGCGGTGGCGGTGGGCACAGCGATCGCGCGTGGCGGGCAGGGTTTAGCTGTAGACGGGAGGGGGCTGGGGAGGTTGGCTATTGTATTGAGTTACAAGCCCTGGGACATATCAAAAAAAACAACTACCCATGCGATCGTGGGCTTTTTGAATTTTTTTTTTGTGGGTTGCGTTCTCCGTTCCTGGGGCGGGTGCCGGGTCCGCGGCCAGCCTCCGTTCCGGTGCTAGACTCGCGATGTGAGAGCAAAGTGTGTGAGGCGAAATTTGCGAACAAAACGAAGACTGATGAAAAGAGAGAGGTAACTACTGACCACCAAACAGCCGTAAACCACAGTATATTATTCTTAGAAAGGATAGTCCCCTTTCAGTAAACAACAATTCAAAGATTCTGGGGCTAGTCTTCGTCGTGGGTCGGTCCCTATCATGGGCATCGGGTTGACCTGACGATATGGGGGCTTATCGAAGATAGCAGCCGACAGGGTTGCTCAGTACAGCGGAAGAGGAGACGGTAGCTCATTGAGGTCGTGTGGAGGCCACGTGTTTCAGAAATGGGACACCTGAAACTAGTGTCACACCATCTGATGACACCGGTGTTACATTTACCCGTGGAAGTACACTGGCGGGTGCCTGACGAGGTTCGAGAGCACTGGCTTCGGCGCGGGCGAGTACCTGAGGCATCGGGGCACTGGGCGCGCGCGCGGGGCGCATGCTTACTAAGCGGGCTGCCACCCCGCGGTTGCGAAAGTGGCAGCAGCCGCTTGCGGAGGGAATGGCCTGATCGGGGGCGCCCTCAGCCAGCAGTACGAGGGCGAGACCCTCGGCGGCGCCGCCAGTGCACCCACAGCGCCGCGCGCCAACAGCCCCTTCACGTTATCTCCACTCTAACAACCTCTTTTCTTCTCATTGAAATCGGTGTTTGTCAACAAACAGATCACGGGGGATCTCTCACGCTCGGATAATGGTTTTTTTGTCAGCAAGCGGATCGTGGGTGTCAGCGGAGGGCGCACGGTGCGGCGTAGGCTGGGTGCGCCCCGCGCCGACGGCGGCGCCCACGTCACTGTCCCCACATACATGGAAATCACGTCATGGGGATTTCCGTGCGTGGGCGTGTTTTGGTGAGCGATCGGTTTCACCAAGCGCAGCGACGCTGGATCACGCTGGCGTCGCCGGGATCAAATGCACAAGGGGCGGCGCGCGGCTATTGTTGGCACACGCGCGAGCATGTCGCCCGGCCGCAGGTGCCCTCGCATCCCGGAGCACCTGACGCTCGGTGACGCCGTCGTAGGCGTGGAAGCCTTTCGCTTGTCAGATAAAGTGTGGGTGCAGTAGGCCATCGCTAAAGCTAATCTGGGGCGATTGTCCCCAGAATTCAAGGATGGGAAGTTAGAAATAATTTGTTTAGTATTTGATTTGAGAGTTTGTGGTGGTTGGCTTTAGTAAAATCATTCACCGCTAGTATTGGCGACCGCGGGAGATAGCGGTGGTAAGCGGGATAGATTATGTGATCGTACCCCAGGGAGGAGGCCACCTCGACGGCTTATATGCGCACCCGCGGTGATCTCACCGCCCTGGCGTCGAGAATATCGCGATTGAGAAAATAATCACCCCTGGGTTTGTGGCAACGGTTTAGGTTGACGAAGCACTAATCGGGTAAGGCGAATCCTCGCCGGCGCCACCACTAATCGCCCAACGCGTGGATTTATCCAGAAATTGGAGAGCAATAGTCTCATTGTCAGTTGCTGGTGGTATTCCGATGAGGCGGATGCAGGTTTAGCCGCCTCCGTATCCCCTACCGCCACCATTCGGGCCTTTGCCCTTCTCAGGTGGTCTTGTCGCTACCATGTAGAATACAAAAAAGTGGTTCGATTGGTGCAGAAGCGGGGCGTGCGCGTGCGTGATATTCGTCTCAATCGAGATAATCTCCGTTAGCGAGACACCTCCCCAGGTTACCCATAGCAGTAGTCGGTTGTATAGGATAGTAAAAGGATTAGTTGTATATTAACTCTATCAGCAACCAGCTGATGCGTACTATCAGCTGATTTCCAAATTTTTCCCACTAATAATCATTGCTGTTTATCGCCATGTTTACTCATCACAACATTGCCGCCGGAGCATGTTCCTTTTCACCGCCTCTCGACCGGGGCTGAGACTTTGCTATCGCCGGCGCCAGGAACACCGCCCACGCCTCAGGCACTGCGGAGCCACCTCGGCTACCACCACAGGCGACAACAGCCGACGATAAACGGTAAGCGATTAATCAAAGAGTAAACCACCAACGGATATGCAAAATGTATCCGAAATTTTACTATTATATCAAGGAGATATCTCTCCGTGGTCTTTTATTGACTCAATGAGCAAACTATTGACTCAGTGTAACCTGTAACCATGTAGTGCTAAAGCTGCCGAGAAGTCTTCTATGAAAAAATAGAAAACACAACTAGCTATGACAAATACCTAAACTAACACCCACAACATGCCAAGTGAAAATTTTGTAGTTTCGCTATCGTCATCAATCATTAGAATTATTCGCTACACACTCGTCGCTATTAAAAATTTGGGTTTTTGCCCGTTATTTTCGTCAAATAAATGCATTGTTCGACTTGTAGTAGCTGTCGTTGATGGGGGCAGCGGTGGCGGTGGCGTAGGCGGTCGGGTACAGCGCCGGCTGGGACGCCTGGGGTGCCCCCGGCGCCAGCGGCGGGTGTGTCGGCAGGTACACTGGCGCCAGCGGCACCGGCGCCGGCGGCGCCACCGGCAGCGCGTCGTCGGCGGAGGGCGCTGCGGTGTACCACCCATTTTGCGGCTGCCCCGGGGGAGGCGGCGGCGCCCACGCCTTCTTGTGGGCCAGCGGCGTCGTCACCAGCGACACCAGGGCCCCCAGCGCCAGCGAGTTCAGCGTCAGCGCCACCAGCAGCAGGAAGTATTGCGGGTAGTCGGCGCCAGAAGCGCTGCCGGCAGCGCCGCCGGGAGCGCCAGAAATCTGCGTCGGTGGTGCCGGCACCACCAGCGGCGCCAGCGCCAGCGCCGTCCCGTTGTCAAAACCGAAGTTGTAGTTGAATTCAGGCTGGTAAGGGCCATTAGTCACCGAGGAAGTGGGGGGCGCCGGCGCCAGCCCCACCGGCGCTGGCGGCACCGGGCCGAGGGCGCTGCCGCCGCCGCTAACACCACCGGGGACTTGCGATGACGGCGGCACCACGGCGCCATCGCTGGCTCGGTTGATACCAGGGTTGCCAAGATTGGTGTTGGTGACCCCTTGGTTGGAATAGTACACGGGGAACGGGTTATTGAACTGGAGCGCCCCCAGCGCCGGCGGCGCCATGTCGCCGTATTGCGGCGCTCCCGGCGGCGCTCCCGGTGCCGGCACCAGGTCGTCGTACCCCAGCAGCAGCTGAGGCACCAGGTTATGGCGCAACGGTGCCTGCGGGTAGTCCATGTACACTCTGGGGAACGGGTGGGGCGGCGGCGGACCCCATTGCTGCAGCGGGGTGGGCATCCCCGGCGGGCCCTGGGGGTACCCTCCCGGCGCTGCCGGCGCCGGCTGCTTTTGCGACAACGCCAGCATATTTTGTAATTGGTAGTTATTGTCCAAAAAGTAGTAAGCTTCGTCCTCGATGGGGATCTTACCGCCGAGGCTCAGGTCTTTAACGGCGTTCCAGAGGCCGACGTTGATCTGGTGGTGCTTATACTCCAGTTCCAGCGGGCGGACGAGCTTGCCGTTGAGCACGTCCTCGGCGTTATAGTACAGGATGAGGTGGATCGTCTGTTTTTCCGGTTTGCCGTCGATGTGGAGGTCTTCCAGCAGTGTCGTAAGCAGCAATGTCTTCTTGATGAGCCCTTTATCCTTGAAAACATAGGGCGCAAGCAGTTGGGGTGGTGGTTGTTGCAGCTGGGGTAACTGTGGCTGGTGCAACCCCGGCACCGGCACCAGCAGCGCCAGCAGCAGCACCAGCAGCGGCACCAGCAGCCCGTTGGCACTGCTGACACTAGTACTAGTGTCGTAGCCCCCCGGCACCACCTTGCGCCGCTTCTTTTTGCGGTCGTCCTTCTCCAGCAACAGTTGTTTGTCCAACTCGCGGTACACCAAGAAGCGGCCCAATATCCGCAGCGGCAGCCACGCGATGCCGTCGGTCCACCGTTTGATGCCCAGGTGCTCCTCGATGAAGACAAACACGTTCCCCAGCTGGATGAGCTCGGGCCGCTCGCGCTCGTGCGGGCGGCGGGGGACGAGGTCGAGCCGTTTGTGGAGGATCTCCTGGATGATGAGGAGGGCGTCCTGGGTCAGCCCGACGTAGCCGTAGTACAGCGGCGACAACTTGAGCAGCATCGGTACCGGCACGTTAGGAAAGTGGTTTTTTTTTTTTGCTTTGGCGTGGGAGTAGTGTGGGGGTGGGGGCCTTTTCTATCCTGGGGGTGCCAGGGCCTTTTCCTGGTGACGGGCCACTGAGCCGGGCTGCCTGGTGGGAAAAATAATTTTTTGGGGTTACAAACAGCACGATTATTTTCTTCCGCGAGTAATTATGTTCGGAATGACCCATTTAAGCCTCGAGCCGACGAGCGAGAGGGGGGGGGGTGAGAGGGGGACAGGTAATAATTTTTTCGGCGGGCTACAGCCACAGGCAGCGGCAGAAAACGTAAGGGCTCGTGGCGACGCGTGCATAAGGGGAACCGACTCGTAAAAATAGGTAACACACTACCAAAACCACCGAAGGAAGGGAAACACACCGGGCTTTTCCAACCAATGCTAAGTGGTTATTAGAGACTACTCCACCTTCAAATTATGTATAATCTATACTATTAGGTCAGATTGTTGGTGTCTCATTTGGTTGGTTTAACACTCTTTTACACGATGGCTCCGCCACGATGGTTCGGCGGGAAACACCAAGAAAAACAAATATACAC